TCACACCCTGACACTTTACCCTTGATCTAGGGCTATACAAGCTCAGTGAATTCCAGTTCACATTGCTCAAATGCATTCTGAGGCCCCCTGAGCTCTATGTGTTTCAATCCCTGTTCCCAAGCTAAAAAAAAAAAAAGAAAAACCCTTTTCTTTGTTAATGTTCTTTGAGCATTTTTGCTTAGTAATGCAGTGTTTTATGGGTAGTATTTATTTTTATAGGTCAGACAGATCCAGTCATGATTCATTATGATAGCACAGGCCTTATGGGCCTAGGAGTCCTCATTCGTTGGGAGAGGAGTCTCCTGGTGACATGACAAGCGCTTGCAAATACCACTTCTGAATCCAAGCCAAAGCCTTGATGAAGCCCTAGCCCTGAGAGAGGGGCAGTTCTTGGACCTGACTCAGTCCTGCCCCAGGATGATAAATGACACAGCCTTGCCAATGCCCCCAGTTTCCACATTCATTTCAGGTCCTCTGCCAGGCACTATATGGTTTCCCAACCCCCATCATTTCTAGCAAGACCCTTCCTAAGTAGGGCACTTTGATTAATTTGGATCCACTGAATTGTATGAAAGGTGGAGCTATGATGTTCTTTGTTACTGCTACTGCTGGTAATTAACCTGTGTATTAGTAGAACCATTAAGAGAGTTAGGAAGTGAGGGAGGTTTAGAAAGGTACTATATCCTGTCAACCTCCATCATTCCCACCCCTCACCCTGAAACACACATCCCAGGATAAGAAGGGAGGAAATAAGTAATAAAATAAAATCCTATAGATTTTGATTGAACTTGGTTGTACTTTCTGTAGCCAATTTCTTTTCCCCAGATGATGGGAGGAGAGCTGGCAGTACTACTACAAGGGACAGTCAGCAAAAGGCCACTAATGTCTTTGTTTTTGCATATTATATACTATGCTTTCAATATTTGCAGTAATTAAACTTTTTTAAAAAAGCTTCTAATTAGTAGTCTTCCCCACCTATCCCTTTTGAGTGAAGCTTTGTGGAATGTCTGGATTTTTGGCTGGAGTGCGAATACTGCCCAAGAATTTCTGGCCTCCCTTTACTTCCTCAAGGGTCTGGACACTTCTTTGGTCATCTCTTCTCCAGCAAGACACCCAGAAGCTCAAGGTGGAGAGAGGTGTTCCCAGATTAGAAGGACTTCTGAGTTTCATGCTCCTCTTCCAATCCAGAGAGAGGAAAGATTTTGGGAAGAAGGTTAGAGGTGAGACGATGGAATGAAACCAGAATCCTGGGTATATTTTTGGAGTGTGTGAGGAAGGAAGCAGGGGCTGGTAAGCAGAGCTTGATTAGTCACAGGGGAGATGGCAATCAACATGAGGTCTTTGAAACTTTAAAGCAGCCATTCCAAATATGTTCAAAGGCCTAAGGGAAACCATGTCTAAAGAACTAAAGGAAATTATGAGAATAATTTCTCATCAAAAAGAGAATATCAATAAATAGAAATTATAAAAAGGGACCAAACAGAAATTCTATAGTTGAGAAGTACAATCATGGAAATGAAAAAAATTCTCTAGAGGATCCCAACAGCATATATGAGTAGGCAGAAGAAAGGATCAGTGGACTTGAAGACAGGGCAACTGCGGTTATCTAATATAAGGAACACAGAGAAGAGAAAAAGAAAAAAAAGAACAGAGCTTTGGAAATGTGTGGGACACCATTCTACATGCCAGCACATGCATAACAGGAGCTTTAGAAGAAAAGGAAATAGAGGAAGGGTCAGAAAGAATATTTAAGGAGGTAGTAATCAAAAATTTCCCAAATTTGATGAAATCCATTACTCTGCATATCCAAGAAGCTCCATTAACTCCAAGTAGGATAAACTCAATGAGCTCTGGAGCTAGACACATCAAAATCAAACTGTTGAGAGCCAAAGAATTTTGAAAGCAGCAAAAGAGAAACAATTAATTACATACAGAGGATCCTCAGTAAGATTAATAGCTGGTTTCTCATCAGAAACCATGGGGGCCAGTGAGATGGTACATTCAAAGTAGTAAGAGAAAGAGAGGGGGAAAAAACCCTGTCAACCAAATGTTCTATATCTGGCAAAACTATCTTTCAGAAATGAAGGATAAATTGAGGCATTTCCAAATAAAGAAAACAGAGACATTTGGTCTCTAGCAGACTTGTAAGAACTACTGCTGAAATGAAAAGACTAGGTAGTAAGTTGAATCAACATGAAGAAATAAAGAGCACTGGTAAAATCAATTACAGAATTAAACATAGAAGATTGTATAAATGTATGTATTTTTTATTTGTAACTCCTTTTTTTCTATCTGATTCAGACAACTCTATAAAGCATAAATCTATGTTGATGGGAACAAAATGCATAAAGATATAATTTGTGACTATAAGAACATAAGGGAGGGGGACTTTTGTGTACTATTGAAATTAAGTTGGTATTAATCCAAACTACACTGTTATAAACTGAGATATTAATAGTAGCCCCCATACACACACTGCCCCCAGGGTAACTACCAAGAAAATAAGTTAAAAGATATGTAGTAAATGAAATAACAAGATAATTAAAATAGTACACTAGAAGATAATTATTTAACATAAAAGAAGGCAGTAATAGAAGAATAGAGGAACAAAAAAGACATGAAATATATAAGAGAAATAACAAAGTGGCAGACAGAAATTGTACTTTACCCATTACACTAAATGTAAACAGACTGAGCTTTCCACTTAAAAGGCAGGGATTGGAATAACAGATTTAAATATATGATCCAACTATATGCTGTCTACAAGGGACTTACTATAAATTCAAAGGCAGTAAATAGCTGGAAAGTAAAAAGATAGAAAAAGATACCATGCAAACAGCAGCCAAAAGAGAGCTGGAGTGGGTATACTAATATCAGACAAAGCAGACTTTAAAAAAAAATTATTACTATAGACAAGAATACTTTATAATGATAAAGAGTCAGTTCATAAAGGAGACATAATAATTATAAACAGATATTGATATAAAAATAAGAGTCCCCAAGTACCTGAAGCAAACTGAGGTCTTTAAGCATAATATGGAAGGCAGCTCTGTTTTAAATATTTGACCCCTATGACTACTAAATATTCATTCTTTTGGGTTAAAATTTTCCTCCCTTAGAGTTCTTCATTAAAATATAAATATAGCCCTTAAGTCATTTGCATTAACACCTTAGCTGAAATTGATTTAAGATCCTTTAGAGCAATGACTCTTAGTAACTAAGACAAAGGTTTGAATATACAAGTATGGCCTGGAGTGAGCCCAGGGACAGAGCAGGGAAGACTGGGTAGAGATATTAAGAACAGAGAAAGAGTACAGGATGGGGAGAGGTAGGAGAAAGCTAGGATATCACCAAGGAACAGAAAAGACCCCAAAGAAGCTGTGAAGGGATATAAATGTTAGACAAGAAGCAAAGCAACTAGGGCTTTGATTTGGTGCTAGAACTCTTGGTTTGGCAACTCAGGGCTGAGGGCAGTAGCAGACCCCTGAGAAGCACAAGGAGTTCAGAATAAGGAAGCAAGTGTGTGTCCAAGGATGCCATTCCTAGGTAAACACTGAGGAGCTGGCACCAGGTCTGAGCCACTGTCTTGAGTCCTTGAGAACCATAGGCAGACAGGGAGGCTGTATTGTGGGCTGTAGCCAGACACTGGTAGGACCTTGGTACCAGCTGGAAAAGTGGGAAGTCTATAAGAACAAAGGAGAGCAAGACCAAGAGGTAATGCTGAAATGACCTCTCATGCCAGGCAAATAGGTTGGGCAACTGGGCACTCAAAGGAGGTAGTGTCTGTGGGGTTGCCCACTTATGCGTAGATGCTTAGTGAGTGTTAGTTCTAAATCTGAAACTGAAGCGACACCAGTAGTCATGAAAGTAACTGGATGTTTATATCAGTAATGCCCCTACTTGTTAGCACCTATTATGTATGGGGACCTGTGCTAAGTTCTTCATATACATTGCCTCATTTAATACTTAAAACTTCCCTGTGAGGTAGACACTGAAACCTCCAGGCTACAGATGAACATGAAACCTGGTTAAGCGACTTGCTTAAGATCATTACAGCAATGTAAATGGGCTGGAACCCAGAAGGGTTTTCTGACAGCACTCTGCCAGGCCCTGAGCCAGGCTGACAGCCACAGGGGTGGCTTTGATCACCATGGTTGCTTAAAAGCAACAGGCAAAGAAGGGGAGGCTGAGACCTGGGGACAGAGGGATTCTCAGAGTCCCTATAATGTCCCATCCTCCATACTTGCTTCAAGTGGGGTTGGAGAAAGGAACAGCAGAGGCCTGCACCCCCTGCCTGTACCTTTGCAGATTTGTGGGGTTTACCCTACATGCTGGAAGGCCAGGCACTAAGGTCATCCCACCCTGCATTAAGTCCTCAATGCACTTTTCCTAAATGGAAAATACCTAGTCCAAGCCGGGCACTAGGCATTTGGGGATAAAGGCATCTGTGGGCTTGGGAAACCCCACATATAGCCTGCTTACCCCATAAATTCCAATTGCCATCTCTGTTTTTGGACAGAAGCAGGGGAATTGGTTCACTTTCTCCATGGCTGTCCCGTCCTTCTACTTGCCCTGCACACACACCATCACACCCTCACACAGCAGCACACGCCCACACAGATATTGGAGGGCTGCTTCTGGGTGAGCCCGCATACCCTGCATTGAGACTACCACCAGGGCCGCCTCTTAGGGGAAGGAGTTTCCTGTGTGTTCCCTTCAAACTGGACAGGGCCAGACTATGCTGAAAAATGGATGTGTTGTCATAAGCACTGAGCCGGAAGAGCCCAAAGCATTGGAGAGCCCACCCTTCATTTTACTGATGAGATGGGGGCCCAGGGAGGGTGCTGTCTTGGCCAAAGTCACGGGACGCCTCCTGGTACTCAGGGCTGGTTTTTGTTCTGCACCCTTCATGCCCTCCCTGATACCTACAAGCCCTGGATGAGAGAGAGAAGTCTGCACAAAGGGAGCAGGCGCTTGCCTGGTGACGTACACACCATCACACCCTCACACAGCAGCACACGCCCACACAGATATTGGAGGGCTGCTTCTGGGTGAGCCCGCATACCCTGCATTGAGACTACCACCAGGGCCGCCTCTTAGGGGAAGGAGTTTCCTGTGTGTTCCCTTCAAACTGGACAGGGCCAGACTATGCTGAAAAATGGATGTGTTGTCATAAGCACTGAGCCGGAAGAGCCCAAAGCATTGGAGAGCCCACCCTTCATTTTACTGATGAGATGGGGGCCCAGGGAGGGTGCTGTCTTGGCCAAAGTCACGGGACGCCTCCTGGTACTCAGGGCTGGTTTTTGTTCTGCACCCTTCATGCCCTCCCTGATACCTACAAGCCCTGGATGAGAGAGAGAAGTCTGCACAAAGGGAGCAGGCGCTTGCCTGGTGACGCATGGGGTTCTGACACTTTGGGGAGTCTAGGTGGGAGACTGCAGGGAAAACCCTTAGGAACTCTGGCCAGTGGCTTCTCTCAGACTTGGCTGGCTACATACAGATGTCTTGAATCATCTTCCTGGAGGCCTGTGGACACTTTCTGCCCCCTTCCTTCCTGCATGTGCCATGTACGTGTGGACACCACCCACTTTTTCTGTGGAGGCCTGAATCTGTAGCCCTAGAATGGTAATAGGCAGTGATTTTTATGGTCTTTCATCCAAACTCCCACTCAGGGCAAGAATGCCCTCCCCAGCCCCCCGACAGCCAGTCCGTGATGCTGGCCCCCTGCCAGGGGCTGGGACTCACCACCCCCCAGCCCGGATAGTGCCCCTGATCCCAGGGATGGGTGAGGGGGCGCCAGGGGGTGCAGAAGCCTGCAGCTACTCTCTGTTCACTTCTCAGACCCCAGCAAAGTGTCCACAGCAGAGCTGCACATTTTTTTTTAAATACAGCCTTCTAGAAAAAAGTAAAATAAAATAAGAGGAAGTCAGTAACTATGGACCTGGTGCTGGGCTGCACTGGCTGCACATTAATCTACCCTGTTAATTGTCATGTACGATTTTTCAGAGCTATTTTGTGAAACATTTAGAACATGGCTTTTACACAGCTACGTTACTTATACCCTCCAGCAACTGCTGGCTTTTCCCCCTGGTATTCTTTTCAATTCTTAGTCAAAGTAGAAGGAAGCCCCCTCCTTAGCCCCAGGCATGAATTTATCACCCACAGTCTACCTTACAGCCAGGGTTGTGGGTGGGCGGTGGAGAGGAAGGGCTGAGGGTTCTTTGTAATGCACCATTCCAGAGACCCCAAGGGGGCAAATACCGTGGGCACAGTGGCTGCTGAGAGGCTGGGCCCTGAAGCCTGGCAAGGAGCAGGACCCCTGGGGACAGGCTGTGGAACTGAACGAGGGCACCCTGGTTTGCTTCTCACAACCCCATGTGGGCGCCCCAAGATCCAGGAAGCATATGCCAAGAGAATTCCATCGTTGTCCAGAGACTAGGGGCCAAAGGAAGGCCAGCCTCCCTGGCATTGCCCAAGTTGTGTCTTCGGCCCACAGGAAGCGGCAAGCCCACCCTGAACATTGCCAAGGCAACTGCTGCACTGAGGCTCCTAAGGGTGAGGGGAGAAGGGAGCGGGAGAAGGCACGTGGTGGCTTTTCCTGAAAAGCCCACCTGTTTCTTTCCCCCAGGAAACCAAGCTGGGAATAGAAAAGAAATGGGCATGTGGGGCGCAGAGCGAGAAGGGAGGGAAGACTCCCAAGGGTCTGGGTGCAGCTTCCCCCAGTGTTTCCCCTTCCTCTCAGGAGAAGGCAGCCCACTGGCTAGGACAGAGGTCTGGGCCGTGGCAGGAGCAGGCACCCTGGAGCCCGCATGCAGGACCGGGAAGGCCCTGTGGCCTTGGGCCTGGGTGCAGCAGTCCCAGGCCAGCTCCTCTCAGCCACAGCAGGATTTCTTCTTGGCAGCACAGTGAACCTGTATGGTGTCCTCCCTCACTGTGTCTTCATGCTCCTTGAGGACCCTGGGAGAAGGGAAGGTACAGTGTCAGAAGTGGGGAGCTACTAGGCCCTTGGATTACAGGCCATCAGGTAACGGAGTAGCAGGCAACCTCACCAGAGCCCCAGAGAGAGTATCAGAGTCTCCCCCGGGGAGTACAGTGCATGATTATAATTTGTAAAGACATAGTTTCGTTAATATGGATCCTTCACAACACCTCTTCCAGGAAGCCTCTCTTGATTCTATAGGTGGTGTTCCTGCCCCTGATGACACTATGACTTCCTCTGTGAGAACCACATTGCCTGGTGTCCTAGAGCACTGCTTCCTAGGCTGGCTCCCTGAGCTGAGAAAGCTGCTCGCAGACAGAGGCTGTTTATTTTGTCTCTGTGTCACTGCAGCCTATCACAGTACCCAGCACGCAGTGAGGCTCAAAAAATATGCTTACTGGTTATTGAGTCTATGGAAGAGCTGTCCCATGTGACCACAGCTCCAGATTAAATACAGGAGGTGAAGGATTAGCAATAGCAGTATTTTATCCCTGCTTTATACTCAAAGTACTTTCACCTTAAGCATCTCTTGATTCTCACAGGAGGTGTGAGCAGGGAGGTGTGACTGATGTTCTTGTGTCAGGGGCAAAGCTCAGAGAGGTAGTGTAACTTACCCTGGCAGAGAAAAGCTTACACCTCCTCGTGGATTTCTACAACCTCTCTGATGCATAGAAGGGGCTGTTCTGGGTTCTCAATTACTCAAAAAAAGTTTTTTTTAATTCCCCATAATGTGTACTGAGCACAAAATGGGCACTGTTAAATACTTGTTGAGTGGATGGGTGGATGGATGATTGGATGGATAGACGACTGGATGGATAGATGCGCAGATGGCTGGGGGGATGGCTGGGGGGATGGAATGAAACGAATGCCTAGATGAATAAATGAATGAATGCCCAAGTATTGAAAATGGAGCCCTGTGTAGCTTTGTTTTCCCCATTTTGGTGTAGGCAGAGGCTTCCAGAAGCCAGTCTTGCCACAGGACCAGTGCTGTAAGCGTGGTCACTTTGGGTGTATCTGACTCCCGAAACAGCCTCTCATCTCCCCAGCTTCTCCTCCCCTACCTCAGGAACCTGTATTATGACCATTCTTGCCCCCAGCTGGCTACCCACTGATCCCTGCTAAGGTAGGAGCCAGTGTTGGGGGACCTAGATGTGCCCTTTCCCAGAAGCATTTGCATTTAAAAAGAGGATCCCTGGGAGGAAGGCAGCCTTTAGACTCAGCAGGAGATTTCAGCAGGGTGACAGGCAGGGAGGCATTCTTTTCATCATTACTGTTTCAGAGGGCTGTCCCTGAGCCCTGGAACCCACACAAGAGCCTAGGCGTCCAGCTCCCTTACTCAGAGGGCCCAGCAGACAGAAGCATAGGCCCTGAGGGGCACTCAGGCAGAGGTGACTCTTCCCACGGGACCCGACACACCAGGGCCACCCTCTGCTGGGTGGCCTCTCTTTACCTGGCTAGGTGGAGCAGGGACTCCTTGGTGTTCTGACCGGAACAGGCACTGCATTCATAGAAGATAAGATTGTTCTCCTGGAATCATAAAGCAGAGTAAAAGGAGAGTATTGGGGACTAGAGGGAACCGTGGGGTGGGTAGGGGGGAGGACGCCCTGAATGCATCTACCCACGTCCCTCGCTGCCTCCTGCAGCCCCCTTTGATTGCCCAGCTGCCTCCCCACTCTGTGCTGGGTTGATTTCTGACTCCTGGGACTCTCCAACTGATGCATCTCCCAGGTGAGCCATAACAATTGTAAAACAACAGAACTGTGTGCTGCCTCAGTGCTTTATATTTGTGCACACCGCTTCCACGTTTGCGTGTGCTCATTTCCTTTCCACACCAGCCTGTGATGTGGCAAAGACACAAAGGCGACATGGCTCGGGGGCCACATTCCTCCTGCCTCACAAGCCAGGACACCAGGCTGGAGAAGGCATAAAAGGGGCGTATGACCAGGGCACATGTTCAATGCATGGCAGGGCTCCCGTCAGGCAGCACACTTTCCCAGCACTCTGGCATCCTGAGAGCCTTGGGGCAGCCGTCACGGGACACTCCTAGCGGAATCCTCCCTCCCAGCTGCCGGGCTGGCAGCACTGGGGCCGCAGGACAGCTGCTCATCACTTCACCGGGCAGAGGCTGTGCTGCGTGCGTGGTGGGGCCTGCGGCCAGGGCCCTTCATATTCCATTCATAATTCCCATGAGTAGATTTTCTGTTTCCTTATGACAATGCTAACGGCATCCAGCCATGGAGGTGGATTCTCTCTGGGGTCACGGGCAGGTGAGAGGACACCTCCTCTGTGGCTGCAATCAGGAGGCCCTGTCAACACTGGGTCCCCTTTGAGCTTTCCTGATCCACACCCCGTGGGCCAGGTCCACCCTTGGTCCTGTTCACCAGGCCCACGCACACCCCTGTCTGAGCCTGACTCAGGTCAGTCCATGGCGGGTGTGGGGAGAATGACGCAGGGGAGACACAGGTTTGCCCTCCAGCTCCAAGTCCTGCCCCCCACTGCGAAGTTATAATATGAATGAATCACTTAACATCTTTGAACCTTGTCCTTTTTTCACTGACCAAATAAAGACCAAAGAAAAGAAAGTGGGATGACAAAAACACAGGCCTGCTGTTCCTTGATCAAAGCTTTGGGCCCAGATATATTTTGGAACCTAGAAATTTTGAGTTTCAGAAAGATAAAACATGTATGTAGTGGACATTTTATAATACCCCCAGTGTGTCTAGGACAGCACCCTGCAATCACACATATTAATGTTTCTTCAGCGAAACATTTGCATATTCATTCAAAGTGAGGTTTTGACCTTAAATAGCCTCATGTCGCCTCTGGTCAGATTTTTCCACCAGATGAAATGCAGAAACCTTTCTGTTCTCGGGGCTCTTTGGATTTTGGAATTGAGGAAGAGGGACTGTGGGCATGTAGCTGCCGGGTGACCTTCCTCAGGACATCTGCCGGCCGTTCTTCCTGCTTTCTCCTTGAATCTTACTGTCTGTGCCCATTTTCCCAGCCTCTGTTAAGAACAAGCACCCTAAGAACTGTGGAATCCCGGGTCTAGAAAGTCCCCCTCCCAGACTCACAGTTCCCTGCAGACCGCTCCCAGGCAGCAGCAGCAGCGAGAGCACTGTTGGCTCTGCGGCCTGATTTCCATCAAGCGTTAGCACATCATATGTCATCATCAAGCCAGAGGACTGCTCCTTATTTCAATGGTAGGTTTCCCAGTGCATGCCCTGAATTTATCTTGAGTTCACAGCTTTGAGGCTCAGTTTTGATAGAATGGATGAACTAACAGCTGTCCAAAGAACACGCTGCCTTACAGGTAGTGAGTGTTCATCCCCAAAGGTGATCCAGTGGAAACACAGATGATGGGATTCAAGTATCAGATGGGACATGGAAATAAGTAACCTCTTACAGTCTAAGAATTTATTATTCTGAGTTCCAGGGACGAGAGTTTGGGACAATTCCCCACAGCCTGGTCATCCCTAGTCAGCCCCATCCTGCAGTCCGTGGCTTTCCATGGCAAGTCCCAAGGGCACTGGAGCTGGTCTGGTCCCACAGGACAGGGGCCTGGACTTGCTTCCTCCCAGGGGGCTTCCAGAGAAGGCCTCCACCAAGTCTCCCGGGTACGTGTCCAGTGCCCTCAGGGTCCTACCCTTCCCAGAGATGGAAATGCTCTTTACCTTGGCAAGCTGCTCGCCAAGGCCCTGGGGAACTTCCCGCTCTTTTTCGTTGTCAACTTTATTACCCAGCAGAAGAACAGGAATGCAGTCTCCCACGGCTTCCTGCAGAACAGATAATTCCACAACTGAGAGAAGCATCCATAAGGAGAGAACCAAGAAGGGTGGCCTTAAAATGCTGGCTGGAAAAATACAGTCTGGCTTGTGAATGCCCTGCTGCCACAACGGGCAGAGCAATAACAGAACCATCCCGCAAGCTGAGAGGGAGAGCCGCCTGCTCTGAGAGCCTCAGCTGACAAGAACTCCGCAAGGGGCCTGAGGCCTGCCTCTGGGTGCCCCCCTGGCCCCTGTCTGTGCAGACACCCCCCTTCATCACCCTCCCTGGGCGCTGAATGGAGCACACGGCCCCTCAGCCATGCTGGGAGTGGGTAGCAGAATGAGGGGACAGTTGACATCAATGACTATGTGTCCTTTCCCAGGGCTTACAGTGCCCTGGGGGTGCCCGCCCAAGTAACCAGACTTGGTCTAAATGACTAGAATGAACCAAAGGAATTAATACAACGTGGCGTAGAGCTGTTTTAGGGCTGCTTTGACTACAAGTGGCATCTCCAGGGAATCTCATATTGGGCACACAAGCTCCCTGAGGGCTGGGTCTACAACAGATGCATGGTATGGGGTCCACCGTGCACAATAAATGGCTGTTGTGTACCCAACTGGAGGCCACTGCATGGGGCACTGCAGATCCTGCCACTGGGTGCGCTGGCCCTGACCGAAGCCCTGCACAGAGAACAACCTGTGGTCACAGCAGCCGCACTTCTCAGGCCGGAAGTAACAGGTTTATTCAGTGGACCCACCCTAGGTAGTCCTCCACAGCTGTGCCATATCAGTCAGGGGTCCTGTACCCTGGGGTCCGCTCCCCAGGCTGTCCCTCTTAGGAAATGGGTGTGCAATATGTGCCTCTCATGAGGGTGATCTAGGGCCCCAGCACAGAGCTATTTGAGATAGTAAATATGGTAATATTCACACTTTAGCAGGTTGTTATTTTTACTTTGTGAGATATGTAATTAGGGGCTTTTAATCATAATTTGGTAACGAATAGTTATTCATTGTAGCTAAATGTTTTACTAAATAAAGAGGGCTGTGGGGTAACAGACGCTAACAAGCACTTACAGTTTTGCCAACAGTACAGCTACTTTTCCATACCATTTCAAGTAAATGTCCAAAGACCGTCTGATGGGTACACCTATTTCAAGTTTAAATCTAATTACATTTGAAATTGAGCCTCAGTGGTCCCTTAATCTACATGTTCACATTTATAATAAATCAGTAGAGAAAAATGTTCTCATTTAGCACATGAGAACGTTCGGCTCAGAGAATCTGAAAGAACATTCTAGAACAAAGTCACTGGGTTATGAGGATCCTTTAGTATAGGGGTCCACGATTCTCTAGTGTTTTCCTCTAAATTCTGATTTCCAATGAACTCTGCTATTTAGTGTCTTATTAACTAGAGGTCCCTGAAAGCGGTATTTCCACAAACTCACAGTAAGATGTAATTAACGTTGATAATGATGACTCAAAGGTATCACAAGATCTTACGGTTGTCTTCTGCCCCTACAGAAATAGATTAAATTATGTGCACTGTAGCTGATGTGTTAGGTGGATTGTACTATATTATGATCATTGGCACGTGAGTGACCCACTGATGGCATATAGAGAGCGCTATGGCTCCCTGTGGCCGCAGAGGGTCGGTCAGTGGGAATACCCCATTCTCTGACTGTGCTGCGCCACAGAAACGTGTGTGAAGAGTTTCTTACAGAAAAGGAAGAGAAGAGGAGAAAGCAGGGAAATGGGCCAAAAGGCTTGCTGTTTGGAGCACATGAGAGATATTTGTAGATTTATGTGTGAGGAATGACTAAGGCTTGTGGGATTTCTTGATATGGAAACTCTCTGAAAATATCAGATGTGAAATCCCAGGGCAGAAATCAAACCTGGATTCTGGTATCTTTGGAATGGGTGATGGCTTGGGCCTCCTCACCTCAGAGGGCCTCATCACCTTACAGGTTGTGATGACCAAACAGGATGAGGTAGGAGATAGTCATAAGCCCAGGATCTGTGCCCTGTGCAATGCAAACAGCAGTGCTGCTTCCTGGGAAAAGGAGGGGCAGTCTGTTTTTTAAAACAATTCCTGGGTATAAAAATAAACAAGCTTAGAAGGAGCAGGAAAAAAAGCCAAGCCCTTAGCTGGAGCCATGGTTTCTGCTCTGTGCATGGTTCTCCTCTTACGTGAACACTCTGGACCATGTGCTTCCCCTCCATGGGGCCTGGCCTGCCTCTGATAAAGGAGGATTAGGCCTATGAGCAAAGATATGGCAAAAGTAAATGAGAACACCGTCAAGGCTAGAAAACTTGCTGTCCATCATGGCAGCTGGTCATCCATCCCCGGGCCCCAGTCAATATCTGATGCCGGGCCATGGGGAGGGGTTGGTGGGGGAATTGGGTGTCTCACGGTCCTCTCTGACTTGCACCTCAAGTGTTGAGCTGTCCGCCTAAACTTTGTACCTTTACACATTCTTAATTAGTTTTTCAGCCTGTACACTGCTTGGCACAAAGATGTTCATAATTATCCACTAGATGCAGCGATACTTCCTTTTAAAAGCCCAAAGCACACCTCATATGGCCAATAAGCCTAAGGTCTACCCACTCTCTGCTCACATTTCTAGAGATCTTGTTAAATCCCCCTGGGCAGGCCTGGTCAGAGGAAGGCACTGAAGCTTCTTAGCCAGCCCAGTCTCTCTGTGGGGGTCCTGGGCTCTGTCCTGGCTCTGCTGCCCTCTCTGTGGGACTCTGTTCTCTGAGCTATGACATAGGCCTCTGAAGGCAGTTTCTGTCCTCTGACTCTTTGACCCAGAAGCCTCTTTATACCTTTGATCTTTTTAGTTGCCTTTCTCTGAACCTGAGCTTGTTGGAAGACAGACTTGAAATTCAGAAGATTACCCACCTCTGACTTTAAATAACATGAGCTGTCAGCTTGGAGGAAAGGACTGGCATTCAGCTCGGAAAGTGCAGCTGCCAGGTTTGGTTGGTGTTTTTTGTGTGTATGCATGTGCGTGCGTGTGTGTTTTAATATCTATTTGCTGGGAGGCAAGAAAAAGCACTTAGCCGGGATCACTGCTATTTCTCTGGAGCCAGAACAAAAAATTTCTCAGCACATTAAAGTATGCTGTTATGCTAAGAAAAAAATGACTGCAAAATTATATCTTGGGGGTTTCCATATTTATCTACCCCCTGGACTATGAGTCAAAACAAGATTTATTTGTGTAGTCGTTTTAAACTGCCAGCACTTCAAGCTCAACTTGGAACGTGGGGGGGAAAAATCAAACTGCTATTTTTTGCTCTGTACTGAACATCATCACTGATGACAAAATCACAGAATGAGAATCAGCCGGCAGTCCACGGGGGAAGAGGGGAGGGGGCCCATCCCCTTTGAGCTGAAGACCTGTCCTGCTTTGAGACAGATGTAAGAAGGTCTGAAAAGGAAGTGAACACCTATTTTTCAGAAGCAGATTTCTACCTGGGCCATGAGTTGAGAGGGAAGCATGATGCAGTGGTAAATCCCTGGGTTCAAGTTCTGGCTGTGCCATCCAACGTGCTCTGGAGCCTTTGGACAAGTTACTTACTCCCTCTGGGCCTCAGAACTTCTTGTCTATAAAACCATAGCTGCATTAGATTAATCTCCATGGTGTTTTTTTCCAGTTTCAAGACACTGGGGTTGATGGCTTAATGATGCCAGTCATATTCTGCTTCCTTGATTGGTAGGGCTAGCCACAGTGACACCAGGAAGCAAAAAGATCTCAGTGAGAGGTTCACATACCAGGACCAGCCATCTGGACTTGGAGGAAACACTGGCCCCTTCAGGCTGGTACCAAATCCTATATTCTCTTCCTGATACAGTTCCCAAGGTCTTCAGATGCCCAGTTTGTGCCATGGTCTAAATATGGGGCCCTTAGGGCAGAACCAGTTTCTTCTTGACATTGGACTGGTTAAATCAGGCCCACCCAGAGAGATGAGGGGAGGCAGGGGAAGGCTGGGAAGGCTGAGTTGTCAGGAATGATCCCCCAGGTTCTTCTCACCCACCCACTTACTCCTGCTGTATCCTGGCCCCCCTGAAAGTCCAGTGCCCTAGCTGGTAGAATGTGGGGTCTTGGAGGTCCTTCCAGAGCCTCCTGTCACAGGGTCCACTCTGTCATTGGTGACTGGCCAGAGTTTCATGGTCAGGAGATGGCTGAGCAGGGACTGTAAGACCATCCTTTGCGGGGAACTCCATACCTCCCCCAAGCATTTGTTCATGCCTCACACAACTTCTTCCAAGAGTAAGCCTTTGCCACGTATAATCTGCAGCACTTTAAGCCCTTTCTTCTTGCACCACTTTCAGGTTTCAGGGGGAAGGGGCGCTGGGAACAGATGGCCAGCATTCACTTAATAATAAGGCTTCAGAACCCGAAGCCTGCTATTACAGCTCCCCCTCCACCCTCCCTTCTCCAGGCGAGGGAGTTGGCAAAGTGCTTAGAGCTCTATGGAAAAATAAGGTGCTCCACAAATATCAAGCACTTATTATTTTCAGCTCCCCTCTGATCAAATTAGGTGTCAAGTTTTAATCTGTCACCTGACACCTCTGATTGCTGGTTGCCAAGGCAGAATGACTTAGCTTTGGAAGAGTCTTGAGAACTGCATTCAAGATGCCGCTGTTCCACCTGCCACACACACTCTACCATCTGACACAGCTCCTGCCCTTGCTCATGAAACCTGGGCCACTCATCTGGATCCGTCACACGGGGAATGCCTCCGGGGAGCAGGACACGTGGGACGTACTTGGCAAATTCTTACTGAAGGAGCTCAGACATCTTTGAAAATGACTTGGAACCTTGCCTCTCAAAGTGTGGTCCCTGGACCAGCAGCACCAGCCTCAACTGAGAACTCATTAGACGTGCAGAGTCCCAGGCCCCAGCCCAGACCTGCCGAATCAGATTCTGTATTTCAACAAGATTCTCAGGAGCTTTCTGTGCATCGATTTGGAGAAGCACTTGTTTAGGGCTGGGAACCATGGCAGCTGAGAATCAAACCCAACTGGGGAACTCGTGCTTTTTTATTTATTTACTTTTAAATGTCTAGGCCCTGAATTTCTCTATTTGGGAGCACAGGCCCTGGCATCTGTTGTGTCTGTTTGTAAGCTCCAAAGGTAATTCTGATTCATCCAGGCTTGGAATCGTCATTTGGAGTTTACCTGTACCTTCTGCTAAAATTTTAAAGAAGGAAAACTCAAACTACAAATGGTACAGAAAAGCCCCAAGCCCACATAGATTGTTCCTTGGGGACTCTTGCTGGGTGCCCGGTGACATGCTTTGTGGCCTATCCAGGGCTTGGCAGTTTTCGAGGCAGTAACTGAACTCGTGTTCAAGCTGTGATGACGGCCCTCTGCTATTTCTTTACCAACAAGTCCAACCTGACATTCCACCTCTCTTGCTAGATTCCCAGGCTCTCTGCAAAACAGGAGCCTTAGAAACTACGCCCCCTAATGATGGCAGAGAGCACGGTTCTGTAAATTTGTCTCCACCCATTCCTGTTAATCCCAGACTATTGGAAAGGCCTCTGCCAGGCTCTCCTATATATAAAAATTTAGATATTGGGGAAAATCAAATTTCGTGGTTGGGAAAAGAATGGGTGACTTTGAAGAAATCTGTACCTCAGTTTCTTCCTTTGAGAGTGAGATGGTGTATTAGATCAGTGACTTTCAAAGGGAAACCCTAGAAAATACAGTAGTTCACACAATTATCCCTGGACCTCCGATACACAAAGCCGAGAGGAGTGACCTGACTGAGACGGGGCCGAGGGGAGAGAAGGGGTCCCATAACTGTGACCATCGGGCCTGCCCCGCCCTTCCCAGGCCCTGGGGAATATCAGGCTGATTCCAGGGCTCCGAGGAAGGATGATTGAAAACCACTGCCGTAGATAATCTCTAAAGTCTCTCCTGGTGCTTAACTTCTGTGGGGAAGATAAATCTGCTGGCATTGTCAAAATAAATCATGTCATAAATTCCAAAGTTTAAATAGGAGTCACTTCAGATTACCCATACCATTTGCTTCCACTGTTAGCTCGGTGTAGAGCTATCAGTGTATTTGAAAAGGTACATTTTCTCTATTGTAGACATTGTAGGCACCATAATTTTGAGAAATAATTCATATTAAGCACATTTCTGAGAAACCCTTGAGTCTGGCTTCCACTCTCTTTCCTTATTTTTCTCGGTAATGAGAAGGATGTGGATGAGCAGCAGAGAAGGGAGGGGCCCAGTCAGTCCAAACTGTGGGAGAAACAGACTTTGGTGGGAGGAACTATGGATCTTAGGGCCAAGAGGGTGCACAAAGCAAAGAGCTCCAGCACTCGGCCTGCACGGTAATGCAGCCACCACCCATACACCCTGCACCTGTTGAGCCCTAGTTCTGTGGGGCCCCATGCCAAGCACATGGTCACAATGACAAAGTGGGGTTTCAGTTCTCAGGATGCACAGAGGGCTTCAGGGATCTAGGCTGGGATCCGTGGCCTTTACAGCCGTGTGGCAGCGTGGCGGTGTGACAAGCGGGTAAGCAGGCTTTGCACGGGCTTACGGGCTTGAGGACAGGGCTGAACACAAGATCCACGGGGACAGGAGCCTGGTCTCTCTCATCCGCTGCTATAATTCCCAGACTCTAGAACAGTGCCTGGAAGTGTTTTGAACAAATAAATGAATGAAGCATGGATCCTGCTGGTGGTAGGAGTTGGGCCATTCTATTTGACTGTTTTGTGAATGAATCAGCTGAGGCCGGGGACAAAAAAATAAGTCCCTCTTCCACACTGCCCTTGGCCTTGAGAGGTTTGCATGAGTGGTAGAGGAAGAACGTGCAGATAGTCAGGGAGTAAAGAGCCCGACAGAGCAACATGTCCCGAGTATATGTCAGGAAAGGGGAGTCTCACAGGTAATCTGGGATTCAAAGAGAGCGCTTTGCTCCTGGGCCCCACCTAGGGTGGTTTGGGGGGAGCTTGGGCCCTCACGTTGTAGCTCAATCTCCCTTCATGTGAAGGGTTAGGCCTGAGGCCCCTCAGCACTGGGCTTCTGGGCTGGATGCCACCAGGCCTCTGGAGCTTGAGCGGAGCAGGGGGTGTGGGGAGAAGAGGGGGTTGGGACTCAGCCAAAACTCTGATTTCTCTGTTAAACCCCCAATGACCCTCCACTCTGCGCCCCCTCCCCCAGTCCTATCCCATTCACTCCTGACACTTATTGTCAGCATGATGGCACAAACATTGGTGTAATCGGTGTTTTTCATGACCCCCTCAATGGGGGCAGGGACTTGTGTCTGTCTTGTTCACTTTTGAATCCCCAGTGATTAGCCTGGTCCTGGGCGCTGGGCTGGACAGGGGTATGCACATGTGAATCGGTTCGATCACGGAGAAGATGGGCTGTGAATCAGCTTAGAAAGTGCAGAGGGCTGGGAGGGAGGAGGGCACAGATGCAGGGGAGGCAGGAGTCAAGGCTGGGGCTCCGAGAAGGTCACCAGCTCACCTCCAGGCTGCTCAGCCAGTGCCGCACCGACAGGAAGGACTGCTTGGCAGTGAGGTCATACATAACGATGACGCCGTCAGCCTTCCTGAAGAACTGTTGGGTGATGCAGCGATACCTGCCACCAAGGGCCATGGTCAAGGGTCAGGGGCCCCCACACTAGCAAGAGTCGGGGAGGCAGGGTCATGTCAGGGGTGGCTCCTCACCTTTCCTGCCCGGCCGTGTCCCACAGCTGCAGGGCCACCCAAGAGCCATCCACACACACTGACTTCACGCGGTAATCAATGCCTGCAAGGTGCAAACGGGCCTGTCACTTCGAAATCAGAAGATGATTCCCCCAGTATGTCTGGAATCACGTCAGGCCAAGGGTGGCAGCCCTTCCTGTACAGTTCCTGGAGGTGATGTGGGGAAATGGACAGAGCTCTGGACAGGGAGGCAGGGGACTTGAGTTCTAATCCTGTCTCTGCCACTTAGCTTGGGACCTTGATCAGACCACTTACTTAACTTCTCTGAACTGCAGGCTCCTCGCTGTGCCGGCATCCATACCCTCCCAGGGATACTCCAATAAGGTGCAGATGTGCTCACATATGGAAACCATACCCCAGTGCAAAGATAATTGTTATTCATGAATTACTCCTTCATTGCAAAGGTGGAGAAGAGAAGACTGCCTTCAAAATTCTTTATCCTTCCCTCCTTCCCTCCCCACCCCTTTTCTTTCTCCCTAAAGTCCTTTTCAAAGTTCCCTAATAAAATTCCAATATCCTTGGGGAGATGGGCCATGCACCATACTTCCATCAGCCGAGGCAAAGGTGAGTGAAGAGCAGCTGTGTGTCTGGGGGAAGAGGAGGCAGTTAGAGGGAGGGACCACAAGAGAAGAAGAAAAGGGGTGGAGGAAGGAATCCAGGTCAATTGTCCCCCTTGAAGTGGGTTCAGAGTGCCTGATTCCAGCCACTGGGTCATTGGAAATCATCTCCTGGAGGCTGGAGTCAGGGGCTCCTCTCTGTGGAGAGAGGGGACAAAGTCAGAGAAATGACCGACAGCTGCTCTCAGAGATGAGGACCTTAGTGCAGGTTCTCTGATAGCATATTCCTCTCTCCTACTTCATGGAAGGATGTTCACAAATGCTTAACGATGTTCAGAGTCTTTCACCCTTAAGATATCAGCTCTCAGAACCAGAGGGCATCCCAGCCACCTTCAAAAAAGCTTAGTCTCTGAGTCCTTAACCTGGGTGGCTCAAGGAGGGGGAGCAACAGTGTGGACAGACAGAGACAGAGGAGACAAAACAGACAACAAAGAGGCAGTAAGTGGAAAAGGTAATCTCAGCCATTGTCTCTAGGCAAAGGCTGGTACATTAAGGGCCCAGGAGTGGCAGCAGGCAGGAGGGCCATCCACTCCTAGAATGTCAGGACCAGCAGGGACTCTACAGGCCCTGTGCTTCACAGCTGCAGGCCAGAGAGAGGAGTGCAGTTGTCTGGGTGGAGAGAGAGTGATTTGTCCCATTGGCAGAGTGCTTGATATTTCTAGTTTTCATATGCTATCTCAGTGAGCTCCTACTGTGACATCCCTGTGAGAGCTATTATCTGCATGCACACACACATGCACATATATGCACATGCACACACAAGCATGCGCACATATCCACGCACACTCTTGTGCACATACCTGCACACCGATGGCACACATGTACATGCACACATACATGCACACTCGTGCACATATATGCACGTGCACATACCTATGCACACAGATGATACACAATCATGCATGTACATGCACACAGCTATACACTCATGCACATGCATGCATACACACATGTACATGCACACACATGCACACATTTGTGCACATGTGGGCCCCTGCCCCCCGACACGACTGACAGGTGAGGAAGCGGGAGTCCAGACAGTGAGCCTTGCCCAAGTGGATCAGCAGCTGCAGAACTGCAAGCCCAGCTCTGAGGCTCATTCTTCCTTTGATGGCTGTGCCCTGGGCACCTGGACACTTGGCAGCTTTATTTCACCTAGAAAATCCAGGGCTAAGTGCCCCCATCAAAACAGATCACAACTGGCTAGGAGCTGAATCCAAGGGAGAGTTCTCATCTAAGCTAAAAGTAGAAGGGCTTCCCCAGGCTGTGCTCTGGGAGACTGAGGGTCTGCCTGCTTTCTGATACCAACTCAGGAAAAGGCCAACCAGGGTCACTGATCTGCAGGGCCTGATCTGAAACCAGCCCATGGGACTGAAGCCCCCAGGGACAGAGCTCTTTACTTAATAGAAAGACAGGCAGGCAGAGAGGCAGGTGGTGCAGCCTGGGGCAGCTGAGTCTTGGTGCTTTCTTAGTTCCACTCAACCTCACTGGCTAATTATTTGGCTGGAGGACAGAGCGCTTGTCTTGCAGGGAGCGAGGTGGACCAAGGAGCCCTGGAAAAGCAGGTTCTGAGCCATGGGGAGCTTGGTGAGTCTTCTCCTGGTATATGACATTCTTTCTGCAGCCTGGACAGACGGTCCCGTCAGATAGGCCCACAGGGGTGGGGTGGTGGGGGTGGTAGGCCACACGAGGAATCCGAATCCGACAGAAGAGGCAACAGTAACATGGCACCAGAGGGCCTGGACCACTGTGAATTCTAAGACCACTGGCAGTTCTAACATTCCAGGGGCCAGATACCCCATGCTTTGTGCTCTTGTCTCAGCTCTGCCTTTGGCCTGCATGTGGCCTGGATGGCATTGCTTCATCTCACTGTGGTGGGACTTCACTCTCCTCATCTGTAAACTGAGGTATAATGGATGGTGGGCGGGGGGTGAGTCGGGTGTTAACAGTCTTTAAGTTCAGCCGTAGCACTCAGAGACCATGGGGAGGTGACCCCCAGTGTGTCTTCTGAATGATGGCAGGAGACCCCATCACCACTGCACAAAAGTGGTGCAACTACTGTCTCAAAGCCCAGCCATCTCTCTGCTGTTTTTTCCAGACACCACTTCTGCTTTTCTTCCCCAGTAGGATCTCTACCATCTGCACTGACAGCCTGCTAATCTCAAGATTCTTCAATTTCAGACACAATCTCTCAGGAAACACAACCACTTTGGTGCCACAACAACTTGAATCCACATTCCAGACCGAACTCCAAAAGTCATGTCTTCCTGAATAAAGCTGGGAGCTCACGGGCCAGCTGCCCCCACCGCGGATAACCAGGGACACAGCAAACGGTGCTTCGAAGGGCGTTCAGTGAAGGGCATTCCTGATTGTGCTGTGGGGTGGTGACCATTAGAACTGGGCTGATGGACTCCAGAAAGGGGATGCTCATCTTTCTGGACAAGACAGGCGCCAGCAGTCATTTAGAGCAGGAGGAATGTGGGAGTGCAGAGTGCCTGCACGGCGTCACGTAGGAAAACTTTCAGGATTCCTCTTAGAGATGGGGAGTGGGGTAGAAACTGGACTGGTGGCCAGGAGGGGGCTCAGTACATTCTTCTGGGAAAAGCTTGTGGAAGAAACCCCAGGGGTTGTGGCCTGTGATCTAAAGCAGGGGACTGACAACCAACGTGGACAGTGGAAACAGTGCAGGATTCAGAGTCCTGAGTTCTAGGGAGCTTCTGTCTCTAATTGTCAGTCTCTTTATTTTACAAAATGAGCTCCAAAGTTCTACAAAAACCATCATTTGACATCCCCAGGACACCCACAGGGCCTAAGCACCCAGCTTTGGAAGGAATGGGCTGGTCCTAAAGTGGGGCAGGCAGGGCGCCCCACATCACATGCTATATGGTAGAACTTACATCATGCACAGGCCAAGAGTCAAGTACAAATCATGTTCCTCTGTGGGAGTGGGAGGCCAGGAAGTCCCCTTGATGATGGAGGTAAGCTCTAAGACACTGCCGAGTCCCTGTCGACACTGTGCTGATGCCACTGGTGGTGACCCTGAGGCTGCCTTGGCCCTAGAGGACCAGGACTCTGGCCTCCTCTGTCTCTTTAAAGGGAGCATCTTTCAGGTGGCTGGTGTGACATCTGCTTACTGACGCGCGCCAGAGCAAGGCACGTTGCATGGCAGGGAGACTAATTTGAGCTGCTGCTCCAGCATGTTCTGTGCGGTGTGATGAAGGGCATTCCTGATTTGGAAACTTTGATATTTTTCCTGTCCTAAATTGTAGGTGTTTCCATAATTGGCCTCCTGGGAAGTGCAAATTAGTCTGATTTTCTCTTTTTCAGAGCATTTCTATCTCAGGGGCACAAGCTGGAAATGTAAAGGGACCCTGATTCCCTGATTTCAGCAATGGGAGAGGTACACTGTGTACAGCTCTGGGAGATTCCTTTGAGGCCCAAGGCCTTGGCACCCATCCCACTGCCCCCGGGGGCCTGTGTGAGCCGACCCCACTAAGTGCCCTCCAGGGACGGCGAGCCCAGCGCCCATGGATGTTGCTGTCAGTGTCACCATGCGCAGGGCACTTGGCTCACCCCCAGGCTGGACTCCACTGGGTGTGGTCCACAGGCCCTTCTCCTCTTAGGGTCCTGATTCTTCATCTTGGGATGTTCCCAGTCTGGGCAGAGTGGGGCAGAAGGGAGGGGAGGAGAATGTTCCAGATGTGATAACAGTGGAGACAAAGGTTCAGCAGGCAGTAAGAATGGGAACCTGAGACCCATGGGAGAGGCCCATCTGTGGGAGAAAAGTTAGAAGGAAGGAAAAGCCAGTCAGGATAAAAGGAAGAAGATGGGGAAAGTGTGTGTAGAGCCAGCTTTTCAGGCAGCCAAGAACCAGAGATGAGCTGGACAGAGAACCAGGCTTGGAAGCAAACCTGGGTGCTCCAGTTCAAATCTCTCATTCTTCAGATGAGGAAAAACTGAAGCCCAAGGTGGGGACAGGTCCTTCTGAGGCCACATAGCTGGCCAGTGGCAGGGCCGAGATGAAGACCCAGGACTTCTGATGCCCCCTGGACCTCAGGAGCCTCCCCTGCCTGCCCCAGCCTGCCGACCTCCTGGGGCAGGGGGCTGTCCTAGCCACTCACTGGGTGTTGAGCACGCACCACTTTATGTCAGTAGGGATACTTTGGAATGTAACAGAGGGGTGTGTGGGGAGGAATGGGGCCAATGTCAGCACCAACCAGCTGATAAGAATCTTAATCCTTCTGGGCCTCAGCTTCCTGATCAATTGGGCTGATAAGAATACCTGCCTTCCAGAGTTGTGTGAAGATAGGTTAAAATGATGAATATTAAAGCCCATAGTAAATTCAGGTCATTTCAATATGTTTTCAAATACAGTTGACTTCTCAGCACAGGTAAATGGTACATAGTAGGCACTGAATGGATTTATTTTTGGCTAGAGTGATTCAGCTTGGTAGGAGCTAAAATATGCCTTTGGGTCTTGTCACATATTCCAATGCAATGATTAACTTGGGGCAAAGTCCTCTCTCTAAATAAAATATCACCCAAGAGTGGGAACACATTTAGCCATGTTCATCCATTAATAGCTGGGCCTAATGAGCAACCCCAGTGAACTCCAGCCATTACCCAGCAGGCCCGGGATGTGGATCAGGTAAGATGTGGGGGTACAGCAGCCATGGGCACTGTCCTCCAGTCTAGCAGCTACACCCATGCACAGGAAGGGCAGGGCCAGGAAGCAGCTGGCCCACCGGGGAGGCAGGACTGCAGGAGCGGGTATGCACCCTGGAGGAGTGGGATGACTCAGGGCCCTGGGAAAAGTGGGGGAGGAATGATACAGGAAAGACGGGTTCAGAGAGGGGCTAAGGGCCCCCCGAGTCCATCTTGGCCAACTTCAGTTCCACTCAGGCTGGATGTAGGGAGCATTCAGTGTCCCCTCCACATGCAGTGAGCTTGGCGGCCAGGACTGGTGGAAGGCAGACCTCACTTGTTCCTCTCAGCCTCCCTGTGGCACAGGTGGACCTGCCCCTGCCAGCCAGGCCCCAGGCCCGCCCTCTGGGCTCCGAGCCCTGCCCTGGACCCTCCTCACAGCCTCCCCTTGCAGAGGTGGGCTGGGCCCAGCTTGGGGAACTCACCTACAGTGGCCGTCATGCCCAGGGAGAAGCGGTCCTCGCAGAACCTCCTGAGAAAGGACGTCTTCCCTACTGCAGAGTCACCCACAAACACAACCTTGAAGAGCCGGTCTGGGGTCAGGGGACAGCCTTCCTCCTGTGGACGGCAGACAGTCTGCCAGCTGCTAAGATGGTCACCAGCCATCGTTCTGCCACAGCCTGCATCCAACCATCCCCACTGTGCCCAGGGGTGGGGATCCGGCCTCCAGACCCGCACCAGGGAGGCCACTGCAGCCTCAGTCACGGGGAACTTTGAGCTCAGGCAAACAGGCAAGAGAGATGACAGACATTCAATGTTTCATTCTCCAACATTCATCTGCCCACTGTGCTGCCGGCCCTGTGCTGGACGACCAGGAGGCAGGCCTGGTTTACGGTGGAGTGAGGAGGCAGGTAAGCAGATCATCCCCGCACAATGATCACAGGGCCCTGGAGCACCAAGGAGGAGTCAGGGAGCCACCCAGGAGGACTCTGAGCCAGGCCTAAAGAGGAGGCGGTAATTCTCCATGGGGCAGGGGACAAGGTAGGTGTTTGCAGGGAGAAGGGGAGACAGAAAGAAGACTCATCCTAGTCACAGGGGCAGACACCCTAGGCTGGGGCAGCGGCTGTCCTTCTGTCCTTCCTTGAAAGCCTGGACTGAAGGGAGGACCCTCGGGCCTCCATGTACTTTGTTCACCTGTCCTATCTTATCAGCTTCCCTCTGGAATGCTGGAATGCCCTCTGCCCATCTGCCCTGGGGACTAAGGCAAGACACTCTCCACCTCGTGGGTTCAGAAACCCACAGTGCCAGGCCACCGGGCAGAGCTTCTCAGAGTCAACCAGTCACAGCTGCTCCTCCTCCCCCGCCCAGCACAGGGACACTGGGAGCCAGCTTGACCATTTGTCTGGGATGCCAAAGCTCAGCAGGGTGGACTTGCTGTAGGGCACTGGGCCAGGGACAGGCACCGACTGCTTTCCAGCCCAGGGTTCTGTGCACAGAAAGGTCTTTCCTTCCACAGTGGCTTGCTTGTCCCGCCAGCTCCTTGCTCACCCAGCTGCTGCCTTCAGACCCAGCTGCTTGGCCAAGTGAGGAGGCTCTTTTGAATCTGCTTAGAAGCAGATTTAGGGGAATTAGCTCCTCTCATTGAGCAAATACTATAATGGAGTGGCAGTAGATATTAGTAGTACTTAAGTTTCAGAGAAAAGCCATTAACAGCCTTTTGGGGAAAAATCAATTCCATGCAGTACTTAGGAGTGAATTCAAGGTCAATTACAGGAATTAAACTCAATTTAAACACACACACACACACACACACACACACACACACACACACACTCAAAACCAGCCCCCCAACACCCACCATGTTCTTTATTCTTGCAATGCACACGGGCATGCCTCTGCTGGTCTCTGCTTAGCCTCTGCGTCCCCATTGGTCATTTGCTTGAGACTAAAGCTCAGAGCAGCAGCCTGTCTATCCCCAGGCAAAGGTACAGTGGGGAATGTGAAGCTCCGATTGGGAGCAGATTGTCCTGGCTGCAGAGATGTCAATTACAGGAATTAAACTCAATTTAAACACACACACACACACACACACACACACACACACACACACACTCAAAACCAGCCCCCCAACACCCACCATGTTCTTTATTCTTGCAATGCACACGGGCATGCCTCTGCTGGTCTCTGCTTAGCCTCTGCGTCCCCATTGGTCATTTGCTTGAGACTAAAGCTCAGAGCAGCAGCCTGTCTATCCCCAGGCAAAGGTACAGTGGGGAATGTGAAGCTCCGATTGGGAGCAGATTGTCCTGGCTGCAGAGACAGGGCCTGACCCTCAGCCCTATGCTCCCCACATCCCCGGGCTCCTCCAGGGACAGCAATTTTTTTTGTAGGTAAAGAAGATAAACACTTTGACAGTTTAGGTCCAGACAGGACCCACCTCACAGGTACAGTGAACTGCTACTCATGTTCATGCACTTAATTTGTGTCCCCTCTGGGGGAAAATCCACAGTGAGACAACAGGGGGCGAGGACTGGAGAAAGATCTGTTCTCATCCTCCTTCCCACCACTTAAAAAAAAGTAAGGTTTTAAAAAATAAAGTGAATACATGCTAATTTTAAAAATTAGGAATACAGAAAAGTAGAGAAGAAAGTAGTAATTGTTCATAATCTATACTACCACCCAGAAGTGGTCACTTCATATTTTGATGCATTTCTTCCAAGATTTTTTCTGCATAAATGAATGAGTATGTTTTATTTAAAGAGATAGTATATATAATTTTATCCAATTTTCTCATATATTATTGAATTATTTATCTCTTTATTTAAAGATATTTATTTATTATCTATTTAAAGAGGTAGTATATGTAATTTTATCTAATTTTCTCATACATTGTTGAATTGTAAATACTTCTCTGACCCACTAAAGTATTTTGAAAATGTGAGATTTTGACAGTGGTACAATATTCTATTGAATTAATACACTTAAATTTATGTCCCTGTCATTGGGCCTTTTTTCAGTTGTTTGCTATTATACGTAACACAATCTCGTGTCACATCTTTGTCTGACTTTGGTTATTTTCTTAGGAAAGATGGTTCAAAGTAGAAGTGCTGGATCAAAGGACGTGGAATTTTTAAGTTCTGTCTCCTATTATCAAAAACTGCTTTCCAGAAAGTTTGGACCAATTTAAGCCTCAGCAGCCTAGCATGGGAGGGCCTGCCTCAAAGAACACTTCTAGAGAGCAGACTCTTTGGGAGCTGTCAAGACTTCCAGACCACATTTCCTCTCTGCTGTCGTTTCCATCCCCAGCTGAGTGCCAGCCCAGCCTGGTGGAGTGAGCATGGATATAAGGGCACATAGAGAGGAGCTCAGGCTCTTGTCATGGGGGCGCCGGGCCAGGGCTGCCCTGGGCTTCTCCGTCCCCATCTACTGGGGACGTGAAGCGCCTAGTCAGACAAGCATGAGGCCGAATGCTGTGGCAGATGTGAATCATAGAGTTTTTCCTTTACGCCTGTCTCTTACTAACCTCTTGACACTGTTCATTTTTCGGGGAGATATCTTGGGGGGTTTAAAACCATAATGTGCCCACCTAGCAAGTGGAGGTCTGTGCATGGAAGAGGCTGTGGTGGACAAGCAGGACAGAGGTGCTCCCACCCGCCACCTCGGTGCCATGTGGTTTTCCACTCCCTCCTGGTCTGGGCCCCTCCGAGGAGAACTGTGTGGCATGAATCTTAATCCTGGCCCAAGAATGACAACCAGCATCAAGAAGCCCCTGACAGTGGCCAGAGGAGGCTGCCTGGCTCACATGCTGATGCAGCCTTGGGAAATGCTCAAGGTGGAGAGGGCTCCGTTCCCAAGGGCTGCCCTGGTGTGCAGGGAGGCGTATCTTTCACTTCGGCCCAGACATTTCTAAAGCTGACTTAGAGGGTCAACGGAGGGTGGAGCGTGGGAGGAGCCTGTTCCTAGGCCTGGGTCAGGATCAGGGAGAGGAGCATCACCACAAGCCAGAGGAGGATGGCTGATGGGGCTCCTTCTCCCTGCAGACTGTCGGGAAGGCGTGGAGAGGAGTGTGGGAGGGATGAGGGGAGGGTCCCACTGTGGGGGGGTGGGGGAGTGGGCAGGGCATCAGCGAATGAAAGAACTTAGAAAAACCACGGGAGACAAACTTTCCCAGGCAGCTATTGGCCTTGTTGAGGGTAGTTACAAAATGTTAAGAGAAAATGGGCAATTGTCTAAGTATGTGATACTTGATGCTAAGAGCCCAGCACATGGTCTATCTTAAGGAGGCTCAATAAATGCTTCTGAATCTGAATCAGAAAAGAGAGCACAGGGCAGGCACTGGGGAAAACAAAGAAGTTACAAGGAGAATTTGCCAGGTCCCCTGGGTCTCCCCTGTCACACTCAGCCAAGAGGGGGTGGGCGGTGAAGGTGAATCACAGACCAGCTGCATCCGATTTCCCAAGCTGCCTTTGAGGACCTTGTGTTGATGCAAAGGACAAGGCCTACGAGTCACATCACCGATCCGAGGCGGGATGTGCCCTTACCTTAGATAGGGCTTCTTTTCCTACAGGCTGCCCTCGGGGAGATGGGGGCGTGAGCTCCGGTGGGTGGGCTTGCTGGGTCTGTCCTTCCACCCTGGCGGGGAAGACCTCCTCCTCTTCCGGGCATTTGCTCAGTGGTCGCTCAAAGCCTCCATCCAGGAAATGGGGCAGGGGGTCTTCTTCAATGGAGATGATTCTGCGGAGTGCCCGGGGGGGTGGACCCCCTGCCCCTGCGTCCCTGGGTCCTGGCTCCTCTTCGGTAAGGGGATATCCACTCAGGCCTATGGAGCTTCTCCTCCTCGGGACACCAAACACATCTTCTTCCTCCTCTGACTGGCTATTTTGGGGTGGGGAGGGAAGAAGGATGGGGAAAGTACTGTAAGATATATCAGTATAGAAGCTGGAGGGATGCCTGACAGCCTTAACTGAAGAGCACCAAGCCTCGGGGACAGAGAGCTCCAGGCCGGGGCAAGAGCCAGACCCAGCTCGCTGCGGCTCACTTACTCAGGCAGACACCGAAGTGCCAGGGGACGGCAGCGATGAAGATGAAGGTGGTGGTGTTGACAGCTAGGGGTGCTATAAGCCAATGACACCATCCTGAGCAGATGGACAGCCCCTGTCCTTGTGGAATGCTCGCCCCCCTGGGGGCCAAAGCAATAACGACACAACTAAATACACTTTCATATGCTGTGAGTTTGTTTGCTACGAGGCAAAAGTAAATGGTGTGAAGAAAGAAGCATAACAGGCCTGGAAATAAAGCACCCTGGGGCAACAATTGGGCAGACATGGCCCCCGGTCCCAGGGCCAGCCCTCACTGACTGTGTATCCTCGTTTCTGCACCGTGAAACGTGGCCCGACTGCCCTGCCTACCTCACAAATAAGAAAATGCATAAAAATATACATGTTCATAAAACAACCCTTGGAATGTGAGTGAGGGGCACTCTGAGAGGAGCCCCCGAGCAGACAGCTACTGGCTCAGAGCAGAATGGGCTCCTCTCAGAATGGAGCCAGGCAGGCGTCTCCACCCTCCCCTCCTCCTCTTTCTCTTTCAGTCCGTGAAAGAAGGGAGTAAAAGGCCAAAGGGCAGAATGGCTTCCAGAAGCATCTGAGCATCAGGAACAGTAGGAACAGTGAGAGACAGAAGAACTGGGAAACCAGATGGGGGTCAGCGCACAGAAGGTCTGGGCGCAATGGCGTCACAGCTCCTTCCCAGCACAGGAGGCCACTCGGCCTTTGTTAACAATGGAAGCTGAGACGTGTTTTAAAGGGGATGGAAGTTTGACAGGGAGGACCTTGAGTCCAGAACTGAAACACACACTCATGTACACACACACACACACACACACACGCAATGATTAGAAAAGAAAATGGAATGGAGATGAAGTGGTGAGGAGACATGGGCGAAGGGATAAAGACGGCAGGCAAAGGACAGAGAATACACAGAACAGGGAAGGTGCCTGTGTGCCCCTGGCTTGTCATATTTATTACTCCTAAGGACCAAAAATAGGAAGGAAAAGAAAAAATGCAAGGGTCATAGTTGTGAAGTTAAGTGCAAATTCTGAAAGATAAAGTAAAATAAAGTGCTTGGTCACAAAAATGGTGACTTAGTGTGGGTCCCTTGAAATTAAATAAAGGATTTGTAGCAATTCAAGGACCTTTCCACTTATTTATAAAACCACAGTTTTTAATAGAAGCAGATTGTCTTCCTTCCCACAGATTTCTTCTCTATTCCAACAAGTCTACTACCTGATTATGCACTTCAGAACACATGAGCATTCCCAACCACTTTCACTCTGCCTACACAGAGAGGTATGCACAAGTGTGTGTGTGTGGGTGAGCAAGTGTGCACACACACAGCATGGTTTTCTAAAGGTCTTGTAGCCAGAAAAGGAATGGCCACAGAAATGGCCCTAAAATGAAGCATTTCTTGGAAAAAGCTTTTTATGCATGAAATTTTCCAGCACTGTTGATGTTCTCTGATGCCTTCAGCTTAGCATGCATGACTAGGCTCACTTTTGGTTTTGCCCTCAAATGCTATGTGTCAGCAGCAGACAAGCAGTCAGCTCTGCTGATGTCTGTACTGGAAACCAGAGCTCACAAGTTGTCCTTTGCTCAAGCGTTATCTCTTTCCTCCACTCAGTTATATGCTCCATGAAAGCAGACTAGGGTCTGTTTTGCACACCACTGTATACCCAGCACGTAGCACAGTATATTGCTAATACATAGTAGCACTCAATAATGATAGCAATGGCAGAACTCATGTCTAATTTATCTTTGGAATCTTCACAGAGCTCAAATAATGACTGGTACAGCATAAGCAATCAGTAAATGCTTGTTGAATGAATACATTGAGTTCAGAGGAACTAACAGGTCAACTATTACCACAGAAATTTGGCTCCCAAATTGTATCTCACCGTGCAGCTATTAAAAGGAATTCATGGTGATCAATTCCAAGGACTTGACTATCAGCTGATTGACATCCCCTGTCCCCTCCCCATTTGCATCTGTTATTTCAGGCTGGGTGTGCTCAGGGTCTCCTGGAGAAGCAAATTCATTCACTTTCTATCTGGCTTTGATATGCAGGGATCCGGTGGCCTCTGCTTCTCTGAAGCCATCTATGTGGATGGAGCCCATTGGGACAGGGAGCGTGGGTGTAGTCAGAGTAGGGTGAGGGCCTCTGGAGAAAAGCAAGGCAGGATATTTACCATCACAGCAATGTAACTACAATGCAAGGAAACCCCCTATCAAAACTCTGTGTTAACCATTAAGCTCTAGAGTCAATTTTTAGTGAGATCAGTTAATATTCCCCAGATAAAGGAAAGTAGCCCATGTTTTCAGTATGCTAATCATTTGTAATCATGTGTAAGATTCACTTTAGCATGCCAAAAGGCCTAGGCCTATGTGCTGTCTTTTCTTCTTCAGACCTGATGAGGTGATTTGCAAACTGGGCAATTAATATAGCAAGCAAGCCCAGTCATAAACAACATAGTAAAAACAAGAAAGGTCCCATCTTAAAGATTGCATTTTAAAACCCAAAAAGAAAAAATAGTTTTCTTAACATAACAGACAATAACCCAGCCCACCTTGGGAGCAGGACAGGCCATCTTGATTAATGTGCTCCCAAACCAAGAAGCTGCTATTCTGGGAAAGAGTCAGAGCAGTAAATTTCTTGTGTTAACTCTGCAAAATAATCCAAAAGACTGATAAGAAACTTAGTGTCTCTTCAAAGATAAGCATTTGGGGACCATTTAGTGGGTCTGCATCCCTAGCCCTTTGTCTCTCAACCGCCTATAAATCCCCTAGACAACGTACCACCACAGGTTCTCTTGTCCCCTCCTGGCCTGAGCCAGGAGCTCTGTCCTCTCACTGTATCTCTCAATAAAAGTCTCTCCCTGACTCTCCTACCTTGGGTGTTTGCTAAGTTCATTCTTTGACTCTGCAAACAAGAACCCCGGCATCACCAGGCCAAAAGGAAGAGAGGGCAGAGGAAGGGCTTGGTCTCTTTCAATGAGCAACAAGTTCCCCCTCTGGGGACTCAAACTCATCATGAGCTGTCCGACAGCAGCAAAACATGCTACCTTTGAGTTAATACAAATCACTGAGATGAATCTGTCAAGCACAGGCCCCATTCTTGTCTATAAGGGAGCTCAACCACTGAAGATTCCATACTAACTTTAATTCTTTAGAGGAAGAACAGTCATGTCTCTGAAGAGCCAAGTGCATCCATTCTGCTCAACAGACAGCAGAGCATTGTCCAGCCACATTCTCACCTCTCTCCTTGACCCCTCTCCTGCTCGCTCTCTTGCCTCTGCTGATCTGCAGCACCCCTGCAGTCCCTCTTTGCAGACACACGCTGGGTGGGTGGCCCCAGAAGACAGTGTCCTGTCCTAAGGGCCTGCTCTGCACAGTTCACCTCCCACTCGGATGTCAGAACAGAAAGGAACATGTCCTCCGAGATTCAAGGGGAGTGAGTATAGCCGACTTCAGGAGCCCCCACCAGGCTTATTTCCTGACGGCCAGTCTACACTCAGCATGGGCTCAGTGCTGTTCCCAATGAGTGCAAGATAAGTAAGCAGATAATGAACAAATAGAGGCTGACTTACCTCCTAAGAATCCCTTGGGCATCCATATATTTGCCAATCACAGAGCCTGATCGCTGTTTCCAGCCTGCCTTGGAAGCAGCTGTGTTTGTCTTGGCTGCCTTATCTTTCTGTAGAAACACAAAATGCCCATAGATCCATGCCTGCTGATGGGTCCAATGGTCTAGCAGAAAGGGCTCAACTTTCCCACCTCATGCGTCAGGCTCTAATTAAAACTCTGAAGGAAGCAAGCCATGTTCCTGTCTCTCTGTTAGCATTCACCCCTCTTTCCTTCTGCCATCATCTCTACCAGAATCCCTCCATCTCTTGTCTGATAATCTAGTCAAATGAGCCAATACACAGCTCAGAGCCTGGGGTTCATGATGTTACCCTTCAAAGGAGCACTGATAACTTGCTAGAGGAGACATACAAAGAGGTGAATGTGGAACACATAGGGAAAGTATTTATGGGCAGGAAAGACTGTGCATCTTTAAATCACACTCTTCTGGGTGGCTCCAGTTCCTCTTCGTTTCAAAAGCCCCAAATCTGATGAAGGGACCAGCCTGAAGGATCAGTTAGCCCAGTGCCCTGTCCACAGCTGCTAAGCCAGCATGAGGTATTTCAGGTCTTTTGTGGAAGTAGGCTGGGTGTAGATAGATTGCTCACACATCCTAACAGAGAACCTGGGTGGAGTGGGGGGTTAAGCCCTCTTTGCCAGTGTTTCCTAACAGCTGTCTTCTGAGATGAGGGAAGGTAGATCAAGGCAGAATCTCTCATTAATCAGCCATCCAGGGACTCCCAGTGACCCTTAATGAGAGGAGGCGCGGTAGTGCCCCCAGGGCCCCCCGAGGTATGGCTATAATGATTTCAAATTAATCCTTGATTATTATTCAGCAGGAACATGATTTTATCCCTCTTTCTTCTATTCCCCCTAGGGTTCTTAATTCCATTCCCTTTCAAAGCCAAATGAGTTTGGCAGGTAAAAGGAAGTGAGGTCAAAGGATTAGGGTGATGTTTGGCTGGAAGTTTTAAACTGAATACAGTGTTACTTCGTAAAGAATTATAATCATTACCGCCATCAAACAAACAAGTGTGGGCTGAAATCCTGCTCTAATAATACTTGCTCTCAGTCTGTGATGGAAAAGAAATAGTGGAGTAACAAGGACCCTCAGGGGTTTGCAGTTATAAACCAGGTTGGATCTAATTCAGGGCAAACTGCTGCCTTACCCTAACCAAATTTAGGCCAGTCTTTGGGTAAAGACCCAGTGCACATCCTCCTCCTCTGTCCAAGAGCTCTTCTCAAAATTCTCTATAAAATGGGGGAAAAGCTAGGAATTCTCTTTTCTAATGTGATAGCTGGAGCCATGGTCCAAGGAGACTACCGATATACCCAGGACACACATGAACATCATGGCATAATAAATCCTGATAGTTAGAAATTGTATCAATTAATCTGCACCCTTTTGCTTCCCTGCAGAGCATCCAGTGGCTACTGTCTAAAGGGAAAGGTGAGCAGGGGAACACGGAATGCTAGATTTTGCTTAATGCAGCCCCAAGTGAAGATCTCCAAGTAAATACAGGATTTAGTGCCGTTTTGGAAGCACGTGTAAGTGTGGTGCTCAGACATGGAGAAGCAAGGGTCCCCATAGGGTAAAAAATGTGTTCTTAACATTAACTATGTAAATTGTGAAATACACATTTTTAATTTGTTCTGCGACTGTGTAAAAATGTAAACTTTTCACCAAGAGAGAAAAATTGGAATGAAGAAAAAAATCCATGAGCATGTTGGTTTAAAAGTGATGACACTTCAACTGCGTCCTCTCATGGATAGAACGATCATTTCTGCATCTGAGAAATGTGTGACCCTCCCAAATATTTGAGTCTTTTTATGCCAGGAGGAGAGTGTGTTGCTTGGTGGAAAATTCGTACATTGTTACCCAGTAGGCCGCCCTACATTTTTATTATTTTCAAAATACCTTATGCCATCATCCTGCCGACACAGAATGGGTCAGCGGGATCTGGGAGGCATCCCCCGACCTGTCCCAGCAAGGTTCTGGCTGCCACTGGACCACAATCACTGGCTTCCCAAGGAGAAGGTAGCATAGGCCAATTACCTGGAAACATATGTCCCGTTCATCCCGAAGGTACTTGTTCCTTTCCCTGTGGACAGAAAAGGGGAGGGAATCTGTTCAAACCTGGAGCTTGGAGTCAACAGATCCAGAGCAGCCCATTGCTGGGCAGATGGCCGCAGAGGAGGGCTTGGTATGGGAGGCCCAGGGAACATGGGGGTCTCTTTCCTTAGAGACTGTGATTAAGAGCAGAGGATGGTCTATGTGCAGATCAGCTAGGAGGCAGGAGCTAGAAAGAATGGCCTGTGCCACCCACACCCTTGAGGGTCATGCACTGGTCTATCCTAGCACTTGGGGAGCTCCCCCAGAAGGTGGAGCTCTCCTGAGCCATTCATTCACACATGTGCAAACACCTCCTGAGCACCGGCTACATGCCCTGAATAGTTCAAGTTATCAAGGTTACACCAGTGGGCATAAGGGAAAGTTCCTACCCTCAGGGAATTTGCATTTTATTGCGGGGACAGTAGCTGTGGGGAAAAGGAACAGAGGGTGCAGTGGCATTTCTGTAGGGTGGTCAGGAAAGGCCCCACTGAGGAGGTGGCATCTTGGGACAGCTGGGCAGGTGTGTGGGGAACGGAGTCACAGGCTCAGGAGATGGGAAGGGCAAAGCCTGGAGCTGGGATCCACCTGGTGTGAAGAATAGAAAGGAGGGCAGCGGGGTGCTAGAGGCAGAGCAATGGGGGATGAGGTCAGAGAGAAGGCGGGGTGGAATGGGGACCCGCCCACTCAAGGCCTTGTGGGCCATTGTAAGAACTTCAATATTTACTCCAAGTGAAATAGGAAGCCATGAGGGTGAGGGGAGGCAGGGGTGTGTCCTCATCTGACTCAAGATTTAAAAGGAGCCCTCGAAATACTGTGCTAAGACTAGATGGCTGGGGACAAGTATGGGGTCCTGAGAACTGGCCATGATTTTAAGGAACGTGGAAGGCACTGGTTCCACTTGCAGAAAAAGTCAGACTGGAGGGCTGAGAATGTGAGGAAAGGAAATGGAGACTTAAATGTGAATGTGAACAATTCTCTTGAAAGTTTTGTTGGAAGCAATTCAAGAACTGGAAAGTACTAGGTGGGGAAGTGGGCACAAGTGATGTTAGATAAGAGATATAGTGCATTTGTCAGTCTCTGACAGTGGGGGAGAGAGAGAACATTCTGGAACGGTCTTTGAGGAAGACAGGATCCAATTCTGGAGCATGAGCTGGTAGTGGGGCTCACCTTTACTAGGTGCCTGGGGAGCTTCTTTGCCATAACAGAGAAGGCAGGGGTGTGGATGGGGATGGCACAACAGAAATCTGGCCGTGGTAGGTTCTGGATGCCTTTGTGATGAAGGAGTCCAAGCATGAGGATGGGGAAGGGGATGCTGGAGGCTTAATGGAAGGGTAGAGTGGGAAAAAAGTGGGCTTGGCGATGTAGTATGACCACAGAATGCACTTGAAGTTAATGGCTGGGACTTTTGTCTGCTGACTAAAGCAAGAGGTTGAGAGGGTAGGCCTGGTGACCCCAAAGTGAGCTCCAGTTCTGAGTTTCTCTGACTCTTCTAGCCAGTGGCCCCTGAATGATCAGCCCATTTGCCCTCATCATTGTAATGCAGCCATTTGCAGGGCACCTACTGTGGGCAGATGCTCTGCTCAGTGTGCTGCACGCTGTGAGCACAGATTTGGGGCAAGCTGGAATAATGGCCTCAGCTCCCCTGGGCTGGCAGAAAACACCAGGAACACATCAGGGTTGTTTTGTGCCAGTTATATGCAAATGGCGAGCAAGTGGGCACACACCAGGACCCTCAGAACAAGTTGGGAGGGTTGAGGAGGATGTTCTATAAGCCCCGAGAATGGCAAAGTGAGTCTCTCCTGTGAGGACCCTCACTCTGCCTGGGCAGTGGCCCCTGGGTGAGGCCCTGGGGAACCTGGAAAGCCACATTGTTATGGGGCACATGCTATGTGGTTTCCTGATTTGTAGTCATCTGCATGCTGAAGCTTCAGGATTTAAAGAAATGCTATGCTCTTCAATTGTGCCTGCTTTCATGCATACACTGCCCTGTGGAGACTGTCACTCACATGTATCATCTAATTCTCAAAGGAAGCCTGGGAAGTAGGCATGAGAACAGGTTACCCAATTGCTTGTGGTCACACAGGTACTAAGGGTCAATGCTGGGTCATGAACCATCCCCAGCCCCAGAGCACATGTTCCTAATGAGTGCCCTGCAGCTGCTTCCAGTTGCTCCATTTGCCTTAGGAGAACAGCCCCCTCCCGCCCCACCCGTCACCCTGCCACAGCCCGGCCATTGTTCTGATGCTACCCCATCCTCCCGGAGCCCGGCACCCCTCTCACCCCAGCCCCTCCAGCGTTTCCACGCTCTCGGTCACTACCTGGAGGCTTCACTGTGGAGGAAAATCTGCCACGGGGGCTTCCCTCACAGTGTGGCTCTCACCGGCTGGCAGGGTCAGCTGGGTAACCATACAAATGCACAGGAAGTCTTCAGCGTGTGATTCTGCACAAACGCTAGTCTCCGTCAGAAAGCCCCAGAGGGCCGTGCGGGGTGCCACCTTGTCATTCTCCCCTGCTAATGTGCTTTCAATCTGCCTTTTCCCCCTTAAGTACCACAGAAGAAAGGAAAGAAACCAAACAAACAAAAACTAGTCCTTGTACATCTTGTTCTCTCCTTTCACTAAAGCCTTCCCAAGAATCAAAGCCTTCTCTCAAATGGATTAAAATGTGGCCAGCTAAGAGCCCCCTTCCATCTCCCCAGCCTTTGGAGGCCCGTTTCAATCATGTATTGAGTGAAGTACATCTGCAGTGCATTCAGTTTGAATCACTTTTATATTTGGCCGCATCATAAATGACAGACATGGAGACTTTACCTAGTTTTCAAAAAAAGTCAGAGTGTCCCTGATTCAAAATACTTGCACTTTAAAAGTCAGAACCCAAGTCCTTCTGCTTCATCACCATCCCCAAGAGGACTTGGCAGGCAGCAGGTATGGTAACTTACAAACCTCTCAAGCAAAACTGAAAATTAAATCTTTCCCAAAAGAGGTTTTGTTTTGTTTTGTTTTGTTTTGTTTCAGCCACATTCCAGACCAGGGCACATTCCAGACCAACAAGCTTTGAATCTACAACGAGCTTCAGCAGGCTGAGGAACTCCTCACCTCCTTTCTTGGCTCTCTGGGTGTGAGGCATTTATTCATTCAACAAACATTAACAGAAAAGGGCAGAACATGGGTCTTGGCTCTGGCTCCATGGGGGCGTGACTATGTCTCTTCTGGTAAATATGTCATTTCCGTAATATCAGTTTCCTCAATAGTTAATTCCCGTATTAACAATTGCCCTCCTTTCCCAAGCTTTGTTGAGGATGAAATACTATATGTGTCATAAAGGAGACGCTCAATAAATTCAGTTCCCCTCCTACTTGAGCAAAACCCTGCAAGGTACGGTGAGAGGACACCCCCCACATCCCACCAAAGAACGAGGTAGAGGCTACCTGCTGAGACATAAACTGGAGGGGGATGTGGGCATGTGTGTAAATGAATCAGACATATGGAGGGGGTGGTACTCAGCTGTCGTGGGCCAGGGGAATGAGGGCGCCCTCTCAGCAGCTCTGGCCTTTCCGACCGAGTGGAGGCATCCGAGAGGACCCTCAGGACACACCCAGGCCTGACGCACCTCAGGAAATCCAGCTGCTTCAGTAGCCCCGACTTCTCCCGCTGCAGACTCTCCGTCACGCGGTACACTTCCCTGGGGAGAGGCAAACAGAGTTGAGGAGCGGCCGTTCTGGGAGGCGAGTTCCCCAAGGTGCCCAGGACCCCACCTGCTGGGACCCTGGGGACAGAGGGGCTTAGAGGAGTGCGGCCTGGAGACCAGCTGCCATGACCTCAGTTAATCATCAGACACCCTACTTGGAAGGGGAAATGGTTCCCATTTACAGACACTGACCATCAAGGAAGCTCGCTTGCCAGGCCACACAGATAGTCCATGACTGAGCGGGGTCCCGATCTAGACCTCCTGCTCCCAACCTCCCAGCACGGCTGCGTGAGAACCGCACCGTTTTCCCAGGCTCCAAGCGGTCCTGTCCTCCCAGAAATCAGGGAATTCGAATCCATATTCTCCTCCAGTCCAATCTGGCATGGTGAGAGCAGAATCTGCGTTTCTCCCCTGGATGCTGGCTTAATTTATTTTCAGATCTCAACGAATCAGTTCCTCTTCCCTTTCCCCCCCCAGAGTCTCCAATCTGTTTCCAAATATCTAGAATTTCCACTCTTGGCCATTCATTTCTTTCCTTAGGATTTCTTATTCTCTGGCTATAAAGCAGAGATTAAATGTACCCACTATGATCAGTCCTTCATATCGTAGTGTGAATGTATCAGCCACCCAGGAGTTCTGAGGGAGAGGACAGAGAAGCTGTGCAGGGGGGGCTGGAGAGCAACTTAGCTGCAGAGGAAGAGGCTGTGTTTGTTTACACCTGTATATTCAGCCCAGCGCTGGGCCTGGAGGTGTGGTCAGCAAACAGTGGGAGGTAGAAAGGAGAGAGGGTGGCCGGGAGGGGCAGAGGGAAGAGAAGGCAGGAGTCAGGGAGGAAGAGAGGACGGGGAAGAAGGGGGAGCCGGGGAAGTATTCAGCACCGCTCAGGGAAGAAAGGGAAAAAAATTAAGCAAAATCGGGTAACACTGGAAAATAAACCTTCCTAACTTCACAGTTTTACCTCCATCCTTTCCTCAGTGCTCTGCACCGTGGTTCAAAAATCTTTAAATCGCCCCCAAGCTTACTGCAAGGGGGCCAAAGTCCCACACTGCTAACTGCAGCATGGCTTTTAGTGTCGGGAGCATCGTGTAGCCTTGTCAGTGTGCCATGTTCCTGGGCTGATGGGGCCACCTGGCTCGTGCACATGCGGCCTGGGCAGGGACAGGCAGCCCTCTGACACCCCACTGATGTCATTACGGAGCTGGAGAAACAGCACCACCTTGCTGGGTCGATAAGATTCCTGCTAAGCTGGCAATAACCTGATTCCTGAAGAGGTATCTGTGGGCTTTCCCCCTTTTATAGAATAAGTATAAAGTCGATTTACAACAATAACAGACTGAACAAAATCTAAGTTCACCTCAAACAATCCTAATTAAGCAACAAAACTTCTGTGACTCCTGCAGAGCTGCAAATTCCTAACATTTTATTACCGATTTTATTTCATTTCAACTCTAGGGAAAACAATGAATTTCCCATTATCCAAACTGGGTCTCCCAAGCCCCTGTCTGGGATTCTGCTCTGATCAGCACCACGTGAGCCCACCTGCCTGTTTGCTGCCTCTGTGCTCTTGGGGCCAAGCCTGTGCCCAGCTGTGTAGCTCCCTGAAACCCATTCTGAGTCCTGCTTCTCTCTAGAGGAAGCCAGAGCAAACAGCCTTTCCTCTGCTACGGAGGATCTCTTACTGGAGATCTAAGGTCTGGGTTCTCACAGAGTGTTTGACTGAGGAACCAGTTCCTAAAAAACAAGGTATTCCAGGTCTTCTCTGGCCTTTCCACAGCACAGTTGACTTTTGGCCCAATGCAAACACACACACGTAGGTGCACATTACACATCAATGCAAAGATACGCCTATTTGTCTAATAAACATACATCTGGATACATATACACACATAGATGAACTCAAATTTTTTTGTGTTAACAAAAAGAAAGGCATTTCTGAAAAAAAAAAAGACACTTGTGTATTTCACTAAATGACCTTTCAAGTTTTTCTAACGTAGACATTCTATTCTAAAAGTTTATATTAGATAATACATGAACTGAAAGGGAAAGAACTTGCCATTTTTCATAGGAGTGATTTGTGAGAGGTTGATAGTTGCCTTTAGGGAACTACTGTTGGCTTTGTTCTTAGGAGAGTGATGAGATATGGAGCACCTCCAAAATACAATCTCAAGTGAAAAATGTAGGCAAATGCAGAAGTGTGCTACCGACTTTGTAAAGGAAAGCTGTGTGTGTGCGTGTGTGCGCGCGTGGACATGTGTACGCATGCTTGCATATGCCTAGAATATTCCAGAAAGACCTGCAAGAAACCATACTGGTAGCTCCAGGGGACTGCAGGTTGGGAGTCATGGGGTGGAGGGGGCACGCCTCTCTTTGACTGTATTTTCGTGCTTTTTGAATTGTGTATCTTATCATAAACTACCTACTCCCAGTAAAAGTTAATTAACCAAATAAACAAAGGGCTGTTGCTTTTCAGCTGACCTTCAGCTTTGTATTATCTCCCTTGCTTGATTGTTCTTTCTTTATCTTACTTTAAAATCTGGTCTCTTTTCTTGGGTATCTATAGAGAACAGGAAAATTAATTTTGCCCATTCTGAATTCTGGCTGATAAATGACTAAGTCGTTTTATCTCCGAACTCCATCCTCTCCCTCCCAGCTGCTGCAGAACAACAACAGCAAGACAATGTCAGGAGAAGCCCAGGATATCAGGGGATCTAACCTCTGTCCCTGTTTTCTGGCAGTAACTAGCCGCGTGGCTTTGAGTCAGTCACTGCACCTCCCTGAGCCTCAGTTTCTTCACTTATAAAATGAACAGGTGGATAAGATCCCTGCAGTCCTAATGGTACTGTTGGTCAGGGCTCCTGTTCTACTGAGAACAAGCAAAAGGCTCGCACTGCCCTTCTGTTCTGACCTCCGGATAGGACATGCTCTTTTGGGCTGCAGCCTGCCTTCTGGCTGCATCATTGCAAGCTTACTGAAAACAAGTCTTGAAGTTTCTGGAATCATTGATCTCTCCCTTCTAAACCTCCTTCCCTCTCTTTCAATTCCCAGCCTCGGGAGATTGTGTCTCTGGCTTGGTTAATTAAGATAAGGTCTTCCGAAAGATTTTCATTCTCGAGCTGTGATTTGATACTCCGGCACTGGCTGCTTATTTTCCTTTGCAGTTTTAACGTGTGTGCCTTCAAATGTTTGTGGCTTTTAGGACTTGATTGAATTTTAAGAGCCCGAATCCTTAATTCAGTTTGTAAAGTTAAATGCTGGTGCCTTGCTGGCCTGTTCTCAATGAGGAGGAACTGATTTTGCTTGTTTGCAATGAAATACAGTTGCCTGCTACTGGTCATCCAAGAATTGGAATGTATGAGTTTGTTTTAAGTAGGCTTATATATTGGGAATTATATATATTTTCTTTCTAGAGTAAAATTTCAAATCCAAACACATTTCCTCCCTCTCATCCTAGGCAATCAGACCCAAATGGTACAGGATACCACAAAGGAGAGAGACAGTAGAACAATTTGATTTAGGCTGATGGATCAGAATTTTGCCAGCAGAGTGAAGAACACTCTGAACTGAACAAGGAGAGACAACAACTGGGAAACACCAAGCCTGGTAAGTGCCACTGCCCTTTACTCTGAAGTCAGACTTCCTGTAATACCTCACGCACGACCAGGCCCACAGTTACCTTTTATAGAATGAATGAATGGAATGAATGAATCTGCTGCTTGGATAACTTATTCTTTTAATCACAACATAAATGTTCAGAGAAGAGGGATACATATTTCTGGCCAATCCTAGGTAATGCGTGGCACAGTACTCAAAGGAACCAGTGAGTGTCAGATGGCCAGTGCTACCCCTGGGTCCATATTTTCTGGCTGGCTCGTGATTCCCTGGGGGAGTCGGGGAGAGATGTCTCACACTTGGCATCTTGTGACAGTTCCTTAGTAACTGAGCCTCAGTTTCCTCACTCATAAATTAGAGTTGATAACAACAGTACTGGCCACATCAGGACGCTATAAAGGTCAAATGAAATAGTGTTGAACGGTCAACATAAGTGAGATGGGAATGCCCAGTGTAGTACCTGGCACAGGGCAGTTTTCAATACATGTTTGTCATATGAATAAGGAAATGAATATATGGATAAATGAATGAACAGATAAACAAGTGAGATTTCTTTCCCTGGGCTTCATAGTGCATTTGTTCTCAAAACCTAACACCCCAAGATAACATAAATGACATTCCTCAGCAGCTCTTCTAGCTTACTGCAGACACTCCACAACCTCCGATTCCTCCTGGGGGGTGCCCTGCTTGGTAGGCTGAACCCAGCAGCTGGATGCCAAAGGCACCAAGGGCAGGCCCCTTATAAACCAGACCCTGGGAGACGTGGGATCCTCCTGCCAGGCCCACAGAGGAACACTAGTGGAAAAAACTGGGGGGTGGAGCAGGACTGAAGGTCCCAGGGCACTGCCCCATGCCCCATCACATTATGTGTTGATCTGGGAAGTCACCCTTGTGTCCCCCACATTTCTAACCTGCACAATCATGTTTGGTCTGTCTGCTCACTCAGCATTTTCTCAGATTGCCTTTTATCTGTTGGATGGATAACATGTTCAGAGAAGAGGGATGTATATTGCTTATCAATCCTAGGTAATGTTTGGCACAGGACTCAATCCACGAAGAGAATCCCAGTGGAGATTTCAGGGACCAAGGAGTCCCAACCCCCATCTGAAAGTCAAAGAGGCAGGGGTCTCAGAGAGGGGCTAACAAGCTCCGAGCAGGGGGCGGGTGGGAGAGCAGCGACAGAGGTAGCCATAGGCCAGACTCACATCTCCTTCTCCTGGTGCAGCTTGCAGGCCTCTTGCTGAAGGCTTTCCAGCTGCCGCTGGGCACCCTGCAGCTCCCGGGAGGCCTGCTCCAGCTCGCGAGTCAGCTCCTGGTTCGTGAGTTTCAGCTTGGTGTTCTCAGCCCTGGTCTCATGCTGGTCAGTATGCAGGGTCGCACACTGGCCTTCCAGCTGGAAAGGAGGGGTTGGGGGAGGGGTGAAACAGCCCCCACGGCGGGCTGCCCCGCCCGGCCTCACCTGCCTTTTTTCCGCTCAATGGGCAGGGGCCTTACTGCTACCCCTCACTGCTCTCCAGAGGCTTTGTCCCACTCCTTAATTCATACGCACACACTTCTGGAGGCAGGAAGGGACTTTCAGAGCACATCTCCTCTCTCCCGTCTCCCCAGAGCTACCAGAACATCCTGAGGAACTGCTCCATTCAAGAAGGCCACTACAGAAGGAGATCCCACATTCTATCTGTGTCCCCATCCCATCGTCTTATCAATGGCCTCATAACTGTCACGTCATCAATGGTTTTGAGATCTAACCTTAATCCCTCTTGTCCTTTAAGCCAAACTTATTTTTCTTGGACCTCGATGGACACGGAGAACAGCTAACTGTCATTCTTATAAAACCATCTTTCCCAATTTCAAATACCAAGAGTAAATCTATTTATTCCCTTTTCTTCTCTCAGCTAAGTTAAGTCCAATTCCTTTAATCTGGAGAAGCTTTGGATGGTAGCAGAAACCCTGGGAATTTTAGGAAACAGCTAAAACAGGTCAAACTGAACGTCTACCTTTTCCTGTGCCCCTTCAAGCAACTAAAAACCCTGCATTTATATAACTTCAGCTTTACTTGGCTGGTGATTATGCTTTGCAGAGTTTCCAACCTGCTCACCAGAGGAAGAATCAAACCCAGGCAAACGTATCATAATAAATTTGGTTTAATGAACGTGGCCAGTAAGGGGAGGAGGAAGCAGGAACAAAGAATTTTGTGTTATTTTCAAGAGGCTTCTGTGTAATCAGGCAAGCACGCAGTAATTAAATCGGGTGGCAATCATTCAGTCGAGGGATAAATTTAATTGGCAAGAACTTAAGGCATAAAAGTGAGGCGGAAAAAGAGTAGAAGCAGAAAGGTATAGCTGTGGAAAGGGATGGGACGGCAGCTGGCAGTTCCTGGAGTTGAAGTCATCTTGCTGCAGGAGAAGGGAACCCAGATCCATAGGTGGAACAGTCTCCATCCTTAGCGTGGGGTAGCTTCAAGCATAGTTTCATGTGTTACTAAAAATAACCCTCTCTATTCAAATGGAAGTCATGTGTCTGGGTCTGTCCAGGGCTGGAGTCCTTCCAGCACCAGGGAAAAGAAAGCAGGAGGCCAAGTGGCACCCTGGCCTCTCTCCCCTATGAGCCCCTGCTTTGCAGAGAAGGCTGCAAGTATGAGGTTTGTCTAGGTCGTCAATCTTCCTGGGGTCATTAGCCAGGTTCCCAGCCATAGCACTGCCCTGCTCAGTGCACCACCCAGCCTGCCTGGTGGTGCTCCAGTGCATCAGAGGCATGTCTAATGTCTGCGTCCATCCTGTGGGGTGATGAGAATGGTCACAAAAGAGGCTGACAGACCTTGTCCAGGCACATGGGAAAACAGGGGATGGACAAATGGACCTTTGAAGAGCCTCTTCCACCTGGAGGCATCCACGGCCATCCTGGTAGGAAGACATTGATGTCTGCAGCCTCCCCAGAGTATCAGGGACTATGTCCCTTGTCCTCAGCATTCCCCCATCTCTTATACAGGATGTAGCAAACAAATTCACATCTTGACATTCTGGTGGCCCCTGGGCATAATTATATATCAACCTGAAGACAACTTGTGGGGGGATTCCTGGCAAATTTTCAAGTTAAATACCTGGCATTGGAGAAGTACGGCTTTATCTTGAATCAGCTGTGATTTCAAATGCTCTTTTATACAGCTAAGTGGTTCTTCTAAGATTTTTTTAAATTCCTTAAGTGAATGGCAAGTGAAGTAGGCAAGAGCTGGGGGAGAGGACAGAGTGGCGAGCTAGGCACGCTGAGGACACTGGGAAGCATACCCGCTGCTGCTTCTGGACCAGCTGCTCCAGTTCCTGCTCCTTAGAGAACAGCTTCTGCTCCAGCTCCTGACTGCGGGCCTGAAACCTCTCTGTGTCCTGCCATGGGGAAGAGGGACATGTGAGGCCCAAATCACCTGGGATGGAGATTTTTTTCCCAACTGCCTGACAGCTGGGCCCACCCATCCTTTTGGACTTTGTGGTCCTTCCCACAGTATTCTGGGTCTTCAGTGACCCAATTGCCCAGTCAGGCATGATTCAAACTCCCACCAAGTGTGAACATAACCGATGACTGTGCACTGCCCCAAAAAAGAGAGGCGGTGTTGGGTAGTACGGGAGCTTGACTCTCAGGCCTCAGTTTCCTCACCTGTGAACTGGGGGCAATGCAAGGTCATCTAACTGGGACATTCTGCTCCACTCCATCTTTTGCTTCTAGAAGCATGCCTGTCTCTTTAGCTCAGACCTTTGACATGTAGTCATGACCCTGGCAGAGGGGGTAAATGCCCCAGAGCTTGGCCCCTCTGTGCAGTAGGTCATTTCAGGTGAAGGGAGTGGCTCTCCTATTACAGGAGAAAAAAAGGCTTCTATTCTCAGAAAACTATTTTAGGGTCTGCTAGGTAAGGAGTGTATGAGTTCTGTCTGTCATACACTCATCCGACTCTGCTGAAGGCTGAGGACAGCCAGAATGTTTTAAAGCTCTAAACAAGAATAGGGGGTGGTCTGGAAATCCTGCCAAGCCTCCGGAGGGCTCCAGTTGGAGAACATGACCCGCTTTTTCTGGAAGGCATTCAGACTCTCTCAGTTTGAGCGACATCTGTGATAATAAATGGAGCTGTGGTGTGGATGATTCAAGGCAGCATGAAGCTCAAAATTGGTTCAAACCAGCCTGCACTGAGGAGGAGGGCTGGGGTCGTGACAACAGCCTGGCTCGGTGCTGAGAGGTAGGGGATAGTGTCTCTATGTTGCGTACCCCCAAACTCACATGCTGAAACTGAACCTCAAGGTGATGGCCCCAAAGAGGTGGGGCCTTGGGGAGGTGATTGAATCAGGAGGGCAGAACCTGCAGGAATGGGATTAGTGCCCTTATCAAAGAGACCCCAGAGAGCCTGCTTGCCCTTCCACCACGTGAGGATACAAAGAGAGGTCTGCGGTCTGCACCCCACAGCAGGGCTCTCGCCAGAGCCTAACCACCTGGCACTCCATTCTTAGATTTGTAGCCTCCAGAACCGTGAGAAACAAATGTTTGTTGTTTACAAGCTGCCCAGTGTATGGTATTTTTGTAATAGCAGCTTGAAATAAGACAGGAGGTCACCATTTAAGATCAAAGACTTTTCTGCTGAGAACATGCCAAATGGATAATCCAAACATGAGTAATAGAGAATCTGGTAGCTTTGTTTTATCAATATCCTTTTTTTGTTTCAAAAAATATCCTGCTTAGCTGGAAAAGAAGGGATTTCACCAGTTCTAACCTCCCAAGACAGTGGGAAGAGGAGGGCTTGGTAGGAGGCTAAGTGCCAGACGAGGAACAGAGGATATGAGCTTTAAATTTGCTCCTGTTGGAATCTGAGGGGAGTGGAATCTGATTTGTCTTGGGTATAACATTCTAGGTGACCCAGGGGAAAGGATGGGAAGCATAGGCTTTAGTGATGGTGCCCCCAGGATGCTTCTGGGCATGGAGTGAACAGGCTGGTGCATTTGGGTGGGCCTGTCTTATAGGCTGGGGACCAGCCTATGTCAGAGCCAGTCTCCAGGCTGCTTTAACTGGTAAAGCATGGGCCTTCATCCTTTCATTTACTCATCCATTTGTTCACTTGTTCATTCAATCATTCATTTGACAAGTATTTGTTGAGCACTGCTACATTCTAGGCATGGTTGAGGTGCGAAGGACACATTAGTAAGAAAGAGACAAAGTTCCCCCCTCTTGAGCTTACATATTAGTAGGAGGAGACAGAATATCATCAATAAAAATGAACAAGTAAATTATGTACCATGTTTGAGGATGACAAATGTCTTGGAAAAAAATAAATGAAGCAGAGAAACAGGGAATCAATTAACGCCATGGTGGGGGCATTGCGATCTTAAATTGGGGAGAGGTAGTCAAGGCAGGCGGTACGTCAGCCTGACCCCCTGAGCCCCATCCCAGGAGTGGACTCTTACTTTTAGGAGAAACTGCTCCTTCTCACTTTTGATTTGTTGTTCCATCTCCTCATAGAGATGCTGGATTTCTTCATCATAAGCAGTTATTTTCCTGCAGAGGTGGCAAAAGGAGAGTCTGATGAGGTCTACATCCAGAGTCCTTTTCCCCACGGGGGCAAGTCTCGGAGCTTGGGCACCGGAAGCCTGTCTGAAGCTGTGGGTACTGGGGGAGCTGCCTGGTCAGGTCACCAAAGCTGCAGAATCAGCTCCATGAGGCCCAGGAGGCCCCTCTCCTTCTCCCATCTCGTGGCCATCCTCCTGGATGGTCCACATGCACCTTGGCGAAGCTTCTCTGGCTCCTCCCTCCTTTACTCGGCCTGATGTCCACAGCAAGCCCCCGGGCTCCGCTAGACAGCCCCCCTCCTGCCTGCTGACCCCATGCTTGCAGACAGCACAAAGTCACATTGTGTGGGCTTCTTTCCTGCTTGGCTTCGTGATCCATCTCCTTCCCACCTTGGATGCTCTCTGGCTACGTGAGCGCTGTCTGAACGGCATCACCAGAGGGCTCTCCTGAAATGGTGTGCTTATGTCTGCGTGATCTCAAAAGATCCCGGAAGCTTCCATGATGACGCCACCCCCACACCTCACACCCCACACATGGTCGCTGGGGTAGTCTGCAACCCACATGCTCTATATCTGTCCCAGTGCCCACGTGACATGGGCCCAGGGCCACAGGCAGCCAGGACGAGAAGGGTGAGGCTGGAGAGAGGCTGGCAGTGATAATGAGATGGCCTGTTCTCCACTCTCAGATTCCCTCCCTCCCCTGGTGAGGCCCATGGGACAGGAAGTGAGTACCTGGTACTCTGCTCTTACACAGAGACCAAGACAAATATGGCCATAGGGCAAGGCTAGGGGCTCATGCTGGGGTTGCTGCTCCTTCTCTCCAAGCAGTAGACTCTCCTGTGGATGCTCCCCAACTTCAGACGGGAAGAATCAGGTGTCAGTGTTTGAACTGAGGCTGGACGCTCTCCCACCCAAGCATTAGCATCCCCCAAGGAACTGCATGTTGTACCCGTCCTCTGACCTGCAGTGACAGGCCCACATATACACACTGCGAGTGCTGGCCCTTGCCATTCTAAACTCACACAGTGGCAAGCCCGCTCTTCCCTATTAGAGGAAACTTTAAGAGTTGAGGAAATAGCCCCAGTGTCAGTTCTAAGAGGTACTGGGGAAATTTCTGAACGAAACATCAAGGATGGGAATGCATTCATTCCCCCGAGCCTTCCGTCCTTTTAACCCCAAATTCCCTGTGTCCCTCCATCCCCTGGGGACTCACATCCAGAGCCAGGCCTTCCCTGCCACCACAGGCTGTACCACCGCCCACTCACCGCCCGGCCTCACTTGCTACCGGTCGGGGAATGTGTACACAAGCACAGATCGAGCAAGGACCAAGCAGCCGTTCTGGTGGGCATGCTGGCACTTCTATAGAAACCACTCGACCCATCCAGACAACGGGAGTGGAGAGAGCCTTTGTGGCCCAGGCCATTTGTACAGGGCACCAGCCTCCGAGTCCCCTCCCTTGGCTGTACCCCAAAGCCAGAGACCTGACTTAGAGCGGGTATGGCAATAGCCCCCGGAAATGCTGAGCAAAAGGTCACAGGTCTCTGAGACTCCCACGAGCGGAGCCCTGGGTTATGGTGCTCAGCGTCCTGGGTGTGGCCAATGTCTTTTTGGCTCAGAGTGAGAAACCTCTTCTTGGCAAATGACAGATGTTTTGGATTGTTGCTTTTGTTCTCAGCTAACCCATAACAATTAGAAGAAAATCTTAGAGAAAAATAAGGAGAAAAGACACCTGCTGTTGAATAGGGACTCCTTGGGGACAGAAATGAATATAGCTTGAAGGAACTTCCAGGAAAAAAATGGTCTTCTCTTGCCCCTGGAATTACCTTCTCTGTTTAAAGAAATTCAGATGCTAGATGGTAAATAGTATCAAGGAAGACTTTACACAGTGATTCCAACCACATACAAATACTGGAGAACTAATAAAGGGAGATGAGAGAAACTTAAAAATTGATTTGCTCTGGTAAAGCAATACTAATTATACTCATTCATATAAGCTGTTTACCATTTATGCCTAATAACTATGCAGGGCATAAATTCTACACTATCATTAAATGCATTATATTAACTTTCCTCTGAGTTTTGTTTGATTAAATTAATAAACTCTATGTTTTCCATGCTCTCTTGTCAGTTTCCTGGTCACAGAGTAAGTGATTTTGCAAACTGCTAAAAACAAGTGGAGCGGCAGCAGATGTAGCCTTTGAATGGTACTGACTTGTAAGCCTCACCCACAAAGGCAGGGGCCACTGCAAAGAAGCCCTGAGAATCCAGGTGGGCATCAGTGATGTTGGGCCCAGCCAAACGTATACATGGCATCAGACCTTTAGAAATGCTTTTGAATAAAGCTGGCCTCCAGGAAGACTGCCCAGGCTGAAATAACTTCAGAGCACAAGTCCCAGAGGGACTGACTGGCTCATGACCTCCTGGGTCAGACACAGGAGCCCCAGGAAGGGGGAACATGAAGGTGTTACTCACACCATTTGCATCATTAAACTAGCTCAGGGGTCAGAAAACTTGGGTTCTGATCTCAGAACCAACTCACAGGCTCAGTGCCTTTGGGCAGGCACTCTGACCTCCTCACCACCTAGAAGAGTACCAGCCCCAGTTCCTTCCAGCAATGCCACAATGAACAAACATGACAGCACGTGTGAAAAGCATTTAGAACTGCAAAGATCCCCCCAAAAATGTAAGGGACTATTTATGACTGTAATTATTATCATGGGCTGTGGAGGGCAGGGGCCAGGGCTCTCCACGGGAAGGAGAGTCTTAGTGTCAAGGATAAAGGGCGGCTGGGTTTGGAAAGGGTCAGAGGCCATCAGGAAGATGAAGAACAGAAGGCTTAGTCAATAAAAACTCCTGTCAGCCCAGTCCGTGAGAGATGCAGGCTGGGTGTGCACAGGAGCTGCAGAGCCAAATGCCTGCATCTAGCTCCACAGTGACTGTGACAGCAATAATGGCTAGACCATCTGAAAGGTCTGTGCATACGGCATGTGGCAAGCACTGTATTCTGCCATTAAAGGGAAGAGGCAACTGATCATGTCTGCTTGTATCTTTGCTGCCATGGTTTCAAAAACCACTCAGGTTGCCTGATGCACAAAAACACAGGATTTCCCCAGCTGTTCCAACCCTCACTGACCTCTGAACCCTTAGGGCAGTAAATGTGTTTACTTGAACATTTAATTTTAAAGCCCTGAACAACCATTCAGTTGAGCTTATGCTGTCTCATCTGGGTTATGAGCACTCACACATTTATGTTACCCACAGGGCCTGTGCTCAAAACGTTAATGCTGAAAACCTGTAAGAAATCAATATAACACTTTGGAAACCTACCTCAGAAGCCCATGGGAGGACCATATGGGGGGAATAGCAGATTCCAGGGGAATTGGAAAATTCAGAGTTGGAAGATTTGTCTCATCCAACGACCTATTTTTCCAGTGTTGAAATCTTTGCCACAACATCCCCAGCAAGTATTTACCTAAACTAGGTTAGAACACCTCTGGCGAGAGGGATCTTGCTGGATCTCTGAGCAGCTCTTTCATTTTTGGAACATTCTGGCCCACAGAAATATGTCTTTCTATGACCTTATCCTTCCTGTGCATAAAAGCCCTTCATATATTTGAAAACAGTATTAGGATTTCAGGAAGTTGCCTTGGGTTCAGGCCATGCCTCTCCCCTTCGTCCAGCCATGTCTCATGTGGATTTTTTCACTAAGTCCCCTCATCACTTCCTCTACTCTTCCCTGAATGGGCTTGCATTTAACTTTTTCAAGCCATGGAGCCCTAAACTGAGTGCCCAGTGTATGAGGTCTGATCAGCTTAGGTTAGAGTTGGACGAGGGCCTCTCTTGCTCCGGACACCGTGTATCTATTCGTGCAGCCTAAGATCACATTAACTTTTCTTGGCAGCCACATCCTACTTGATGAGAGCTGAACCCCTCTGTCAAGTAAAATCCAAATCTTACATCTGTGCGATTGTTTTTCTTTTAAAGATGGTGCTACTGAAGCATATCTCTTCCACCGTGTGCTCATCATTGGCTTTTTGGACATAGAGCAAAATCTCAAATGTAATTCTGTTAGATTTCATGTTTTTTAGATTCAGTCCATCTTTCCAGCCTGTCATTACCTTAATGGATCCCATCTGGTCATGTAAGGCAGCCAATGCCTTTCTAAGCTTTTTTGATATTTTAAATTTTCAATCATAATGTAAGCTAAATAATCCATAATGCTGGTTTTGATTATTTAATTCACCTGAAAGTTATTCAGAGGACTGTTTCTTTAAAGAAAATATATAAACTATAGGTTTCTGGTTGATTGTGTGATAGTAAGAGAATATATTGGTAAGATATTTACTTTTTGGAATCTATTAACCTTGCCTTTATAATCAAAATCACTATTATTTTTTGCATAACTCCATTGAGAAGAATGTGTATCCTATTATAGGGCACACAACTCTACATTCATCTCTTAAATTGAGCTTGCTGCTTGATGGCTTCAAATATTTTACACAGTTAATGTACTTTTTTGCCTAATGGGTCAAATCTCCGAAAGTCTTGTTTTTATCAAATTTTCTTTTGTTTTTCTAAAAGTTTCTTTTCTGCCTTATGTGTCTTGCTTCTATGTTGTTTGGTGTATAAAGGTTTTTATCTGTTGTATTTTCTTTACAGACGGAACTTTTTTTATTAGCACAAAGTATGTCTCCCTATCACCCTTAATTCATGCCTTAGAGAAGGACAGCAATCTGCAATCAAGTTCTCTGAGCTAATAATTAATAATATGTGAGCAAAAATACATATCTTCTATTAACCATTCTCAAAACACTCTCCCCAACTCAGGGCAGTGTTCATTTAATCATCCCATTCTCTGCTATCTGTGCCTAGTCATTTTGAGCTACAGGTGGAGAAGATGGAAAAGAGGTAGATGAGAGAGAAGGGAGGGAAAGAGACATGAGTTCTCAGTGACACAGAGGGATGAAGGTGTGGAGGAGCCAGCCAGAG